ACTAGGACTCCTCCTGAACCTCTGACTTCAATTCTTTAACGTGAACACGTGGATATCAATTTCAGATTTATTTTTTTTAAGATCTAATTGATCTTGACAAGAAGTGCTGCAATTAAAATTTGGGTACAGTATCTCACTACAACATTACACTGAAATCTCACTACTATCTCACTACATTAAGCACCGGAACAGGTTGCCCAGAGAAGCTGTGGATGCCCCATCCCTGGAAGTGTTCAAGGCCAGGCTGAATGAGGCTTTGAGCAACCTGGTCTAGTGGAAGGTGTCCCTGCCCATGGCAGGGGGGTTGGAACTGGATGATCTTTAAGGTCCCTTCCAACCCAAACCATTCTATGATTCATGCTGAAATTTCACTGTAGTACAAGAGAAAAAGGTGAACCTTGCCTAAATGTGTGATAAAAACCTCTGAACCCACGAAGACTGACCAGATATTGTAGCTTGAACAAAAGTAGTATGCAAAACACTTAGGCCAGCAGGATGAGCTGTTTTAGCAATGCAAACCTTTAGTCACAAGCCCATCACTAACACCCCCCCACACCGTCTGGAACGCACGTTCCAGAACACTGGTCACGCCATGATGGAAAACCACTTCTGGGCTGCTGGCCACGCACCTGAGCTGGCCACTGCACCCTCACCACACGCTGACCTCCCATGGTTCTTAAAATCTGTCTCTTCAGGAGAGGGAAGACCAGCTGTAGTTGTGCAGAGTCGTATCAGCAGCACTGCTGATAAACCTACGCAGATGCCCACGGAATATGAACACGTAAAAAGCCTGTGTTGGGGAAGAAGGTCATCTTTGGCTTGGAGATCTGAAGCAAGCAGCTCTCCCTTCCAGGCAACTCCTACAGGCTGGAAGAGGAAGCGTGTAGCATTGTAAAGAAACAAGGGTATGTGCTTGCAACTTGGTAATTTCACAAGGCATTTGGGAAGGAAGCTGTTAAAAATCTGTTTCTAAGTAGTATTTTTTTTTTTAATACCTCAAATACAGATTTACTCTGAAAGAACCTTTTGAGAACACTTTAGGAAAAATACTTAAATACAAACTTTAAATATCCAAAGTACGATACCAGTGCACTTTTCAGAAACAATTACATACTTAGCAGGTAAAGTAGGAAGGGATTATTTCAGAAAACATTTAATATGAAACCTTTTGGAACTTCCACCGAATACAGATGTACATCATGTATCAGAACACTTTCTCAGTTCAGACAACGAGATGTGCTGCCAGGTGAAAAAAAAAAAACCTAAAGTACACTTGGAGGAGTACTTAAATCATCGGAAGTGAAAGGGTAGTTGACCATTCACCTGAGAAAGTACAATGACAGCCCTGAAATGCCTTATTGCTATTACAAAACGGAGTTTTCATGGAAAAAAACCATACCGAGCGGCACAGGCACGGGCAGAGCACTGGAAGCCAACTGAACTCTGGTAGCACCTGGAGTTCTCAAGCCATGGCGTCACACAATATACAGAGAATAAAATGCAATTTCAGGAATATTTACAACATTTAACAACTGTGATCAGCCTTTAAACTAGCAGAATCAATACCAATGCTTAGGGGGAGAGAGGGGGAGTCTGCTGCCTTCATAGACTACAGACCACAAGAACTAACCTGCAAAATATTAGGGATTTTCACCTCGGGTCAAATCTGAACTGTGTACTATGAGTAACTATTAGCTCACTGCAAATTTAAAATGCAAATTTAGTCCCTTTTTTTTTTCACATGTTAAGTACATGCTTAGGTGCTTCACTGAAACATAACCATAGAACATGAACACCAGAAGTCAAGTAGATAATGCAGGACATTATCTACAGAAGTCCTTGACGAAATAAACTGAGGATCAGTAGGAAAGAACACGTGAAGAAGCACCTTCTTTCTAGCTTGCAAGATCAAATCTGGCTCACCAGAGTGAGGGTTAAAAAGCGGGGACCATCCCAGAGTAGCTCTGCATCCTACGGAAAGCTAGCTGGCCATCAGAGTTCGTCACGGGCGCATTTCCACACTGCAGGGCAGAGGAGCAACAGCGGACTCCCTCCGCAGCGGAGACGCGACCGGCGCAAAGCCACCCACAGCAGTACCGCCGGAGCCAAGCGGAAGCGCGCTGGAAGAGAGCTGCAAGGAAAGTTCGAATTGCTACTGCATACGATTGGAGTTTAGCAAGGTGGACATTACAGAGGACATCAGCAGCCAATCTGATTCCCACTCTGGGGTTTCCACACCGCGCGTGTCCAGAAGGCAAAGGAAAGCAGCGCCACGCGTGTGGCAATACCTGGGAAGGGCACTGACTCGGACGCGGCGGCCTGCAGCGAGACACAGTCGTCGCCAGTTGAGTCCTTTTGTGCTCTGGATCAGTCTGACCTAGTCTAACGCGGAGACCTCGGTGCGAAGGGAGAAGTCACCAGGCAGCGCCAGGACGGCCTTACTCCGCAGCGCAACGGCGGGACCGCAGAAACGCGCTCTCTGCCGCGGGCAACGCCCATAAGCCACAAGGACGGAGATACAGTTGTAGTAGTTCAGCACAAGAACGGAACCGTTTACCCAAGTTTTAATGCACAAATCAACTACATCTTTAAAAATCTGATTCAGGCTTAAATAATAAATAGGTGGGCAAAATATAATGCAAGACTTACTCGGTAAAAGTGAATTTTTAATTATCTCATGAGATCTACTTAGAAAACAGGACTAATAATGTTCACAACCGTAAACCCAAACCCTTCACACACTTTAGTTTTTCTCTCCTTAACACAGCAGTGAACTGTAAACCTGCATTTACTGGTTATCGCTTCACTTATTTTAAATATTAAACTCAAGTGTTTCCTCCTTGGCCATTTCAATTTTTAGCACCAAAATCAGCCCAAAAAGAGGTACTGGTACAGCTCGATGTTGTAAATGAATTGTTTACATAGAATACTTTATATATTATACACACATACTATACATTCACACGTCCACACAAACGGGAAGCATATTTAAATGAATATATTCTGTGTTTCAATTTGTTTTCAAAGACTTAGAAGCAATGGAAATAAAGCAGAAGGGGTAGTATTTTACATAGTAGGCAACTTTAATGCTGTAGTGCACTTATAAAAAAGTCCAACTCTCCCTCCCAGCTCAGCAGCTTTTTTCTTTAATATCACTATTCAGAAGGATGCAGAAGTTATTGCCTAAATGTTATTCTATACATTTCCATCGGAATTCTCAAAAACACTTGAAATTGCTAACTAATTTACAACTTAACTATTTTTCTTGTTACAGCTTTAACTCATTGGCAATTTTGGAAGCAATGTTTTTAAAAGCTATGGATGTTCCCGATATCCGCTTAAAGCGAACTCCGTTCAGGGACAGTCTTGGCAGTTTACACACCTCCATCTCCCACTGTACAAGGTTTTCCGCATGCCCATCTCCGTGGACACAGAAAAGCAAGAAACGCTCTCTTTGTTCATAGTCACAATTATTGGCATCCAGGACCTTTCGTATTTCCCTCATCATGTCATTGGGATCCATGGAGCTGGTGGTTTTCATGCTCCAGGTGAAACGCAGCGACCGAGGCTTGGCTTCCTTGTTCTCGTCCTTCTGATCCACAGCTACGTTGCGGCTGAAAGACAGGAATTACTGAGTCAGCAGGGCCGGCTACCCCTCCCCACGGCTGGTGTTAGTGAAGCAGACCACACTCGACACGCGCTACTGGTTTTAGAGCAGCATCTAGAGGGTCTGGCCGCGAGCAATGCCCCGCTCTCCTCGCTCTGTACGCACACACAGTCAAGGGAAAGCGTTAGCTGTTGGGGCTGAAACGAAGGTATGGCACGACGGGAGACACAACTGGAAGTCACTGGAGTCAGGAGCATGAGGGAGATGACCTCGCGGGGGTAGAACTACATGCATCACCCACAGCTCGATTTTAAGGCAGGTCCCACTCAAACCCCTATTCTCGGGCCACGCAGACAGCGGAAACCAGCTCACGCTAGAAGTTTCTGGAACATTCAGATGTTGTGACAAAAGGGTGCTCTGCCCGGGTCATGGGGGTGCCAGGCGGTGGGAGGCACCCACTCACACGCGACAGGGATGCTGGGGGTTCCCCTGCACCTCCTGCCACGCAGCAGGTTGGAGACAGGCACCGGGAGGGCCCACAGTGTGCCGAGCAGATGCGAGCAGGTGGCAGGACCCCCCCGGTGACCTGCGGGGGGTCACCCACCCACTGCCCCAGGGCCAACCTGTGCCGCCCAGTTCCTGGCTGGCTTGGTTTCACTCTGCCCCCTCCTGCACTGGTGAGTTACTGGGGTTACCTTTTACTGGGAGGAAAGACTTCACCTGTAAGGGGGTCAGTAATGTGTTTAACACCAACGGCTGACACAGGGGAAGAGATGAAACCTGCCACTGCTGCAGGCTAGGCCGCCAAGCGCCTCTGAGGCCGAAATCCAGGGAAGAGCTGGCAGCCGCTATAAGCCACCCCATCAACATAGTCAGTAACGAGGACGATCCCGAGGGTTACTGTTACTGTCAGTTTCAAGAGATAAAGCACAAAATATTAATGCTGTCTTTTTTTTTTTTTTCCTTTTTTTTTTTTAAATAAGAGACTTTTCCTTTGGTAACGATAAAGACAAAAAGTGTTCCAGAAATTTCTAGTTTGCAATAATTCTTCTGCTTCAATTAATATCAGTGGTCACGCAGGTAAAGAATAAGGACCTCCAGGGGACACCAAAAAACAACTGATTTGCTTTATGAATATTTACACAATGTCAGCTGGACAAAAGACTTAAATATTTTTTCTGGAAATACCTAACCTAACTGCCCCCAAACCACGCAGTTTGGGTCTCACGCTGAACTTCCAACGTTCAGCTGAAGTCAAGCTGCTGTTTAAAATGTTGGCAGTGCATTCCTGGTTACACAACAATGCTTTCCTTCTACCACCATTAAGCAGGCAATTACAAAAAAGTTAAATAAAAAAGTGATAGCAAGGTCAGAGCTAAATAAATCTCTCTCTCAAAAGATAGCCTATTTCATAATTTTACATTCTATTAGAAAGACTTCCAGTAACTGCGAGAGTCGTAGGATTATGCCATCAAATCCAGCTACGTGATTTGCCAGATGTTACAAAATTTAGCAAGCAAATTAAAGAGTACTTTATTTTAACTCTAAGGTTTTAATTTAATAAGGCTGTAAGGGGTCAGTAGGAATGCCAACTCTTATTCGCTGCTCATTTTAGTTCTGAAAGCTTTTTCTACTTGAAAACAGTTGGCAGAACAGTTTGGTCATTTCTAGTATTTTTTGATATGCAGATTTTGGAAAGAGAGCATAACATGAAAAGTACTGTTTAACTATCTGATTTTGGAGATGTGAAATATCACCCTTTAGTGGTTATCCCACACGTTTGCAGCCTCACTGGAGACCACCTACCTGCACATCTACAAGACAACAGCAAATTGTAACGAAGAAAATGCAGAAAAACACACATGGGAAAAGGCAACAGGAAAGACGAGAGTTCAGAACCAAGTCAGTCAGTGCTTTAATAGCTGTTTTGCAGACAGAAATGCTTCTTCGTTTAGTTTCAAAGCCTTACACGAAACAAAAGCTGCTGCCTGAAGCCACTACACCACATAATCAAGGGGAGAAGGGTTCAAACTCACCTAAGTAACATTTTAAACAAAAATTTTACCCTCACCTTGAGCCCTCAAATCTCCCGTTCCTCTCATATTCAGTCGGGAGCCTCATTGAAAAGAACGCAGAAGCAGAAGGAAGTGGGAAAGAGAAGACAAATCTTACACTACAATATACAATATCTGAGTAGCGGCTAAAAGATACTGCAATCATACCAAAGCTGGGTTAAAACACAAAGCAACAAAGATGTAAAGAACTTCGTAGGTTAGGCCAAGTTCAAAATATTATGTATTGACATCCATTTGGTTTGACTATGAACTACAGTTTTTGAAAAGACCATAACTGATTCTTACAATATATTTTTATATATATATTAATACTGTAGAACTCACTGAATAGATTTGAGCTTCTAAAAGCTGAAAATGTTAAAGTTACAAATCGTACTGAAGTTATTGTATTTGTTTATTACGTACCTCCTAAAAGGTAAATAACTCCTGACTACTTTTAGGCTAATTGTATTTTAAAGTTTTAGCTGGTAATACAACATGTACTTGAAAAAATACTCTATTTACAGACAAGTCTGATCAGCCTGTGTGCCTGCACGTACATCAAGTCTGAGGTATTCGGTGTTTAAACAATACCAAATACCTTAAAGCAAAAGAACAAGACGCATATGCATTTTAGCGGAGATTTTGAGGCAAATCCAAGATTTATCAAGCTGTGCCAAGTCCATCCTATTAATTCCCACACTGATGCACCTTCTACATCAGAGCGAACTTAAGCTTTCTGTCTTCTTGCATCGGTTAAAGCTATGTTGCTGATCACCATTTTTTAAAAGGTTAACAATCACCCTCCTCTGCCTTCCCATTATTGCAGTAGCACAGTTCTACACCTCGGTGTTATTTCTGATTGCAGGGAAGGTGTCTTTATGAGGGCTCTTCTCAAGCCTGCTCTAATACATGGCTTCTCTGAACAACGTGAATTATTAAAGCAGCTTGGCTGACAGGTGCCTAGGGACAGGAATGCACGGCGGTGAAAGCTTGGTTCTTGATGCACAGCTGTATTTGCATCAGGGTGTGGGGGGTGGTACAAGGCTTCATTTCCTCGTCTGACTGGGCAAAGCAAGCGACAAATTTAAGACACTGCTCAATGGAAAACTGAGAGTACTTGAACTTTAAAGAGCCTACTGTGTTCCTACAAAGTGGAAGACGACAAGAGCTTTGTCAAGAGCTGCAAGTGTTTATGGATTTTTTTTTTTTAAAAAACTTGCCAGAGGTGGGAAAAAACAGGAGCATAACCAGTCTCCTCAGCAACCAATAGTCTTACTGTTGGTGGGATCTACCCAGAAAAGACTGGGAGGGAAAAAAATCCCTAATGATGCTCTCAGACCCTTTTTAGGTTAAAATTAAGCCAAACTGTCCAGTTTCTAAACCACTGTAGTCTAAATCTAAGAAAGGTCATTATTTACAAAATACCTGCCACTTGGAAATAATAACCACTTTTTCCATGGAAGCTTCTCAGAAAATCCTTACTTTGTTCAGTTTCTCAGTTCTGTTTCAGCGAGAACTGCACCCAGTGACATGCGCTCTTAAACGGGAGCCGTCTCCACGCTCTGGAGAACTGTGCGGTCTCTCCAGACGCTCCATCCTTCGTGAAAGACATGGTTATGGTCCAGTTCTACAGCCCAGCTCTGGCGCTTTGGGAACAGTCACTTACTGTATTGCCAGTATTGTTTCAGTGGGTCTGCAAGTCAGATGCAGCCCCTGAGGCCTCCTCACTGCTAATACAATATTCACTTCTGCTGGAACTGCAAATTGCTGGTTTATGTTCTGAATTTTCTGCTTTTGCTTGTGTTTTTACATCAATTTATTTTATGGACCAGGATGCTCCCTGGTCTGGAGAATGGAACCAATATATATGGAAGTTATGTTCTCATTTGTCATGCAATGCCTATACACCACCTCCTTTATGGTTCTGCTATATGGGTTGTGGAAGGCTTTCAAAAATAAGAATGTTTCCATACATGTGTCTTGAGTTATCCTGCATTTTCTGTTCTTTACATCTTTGTACACTCTGTGTTAAAAGGCCAAATAAACACAAAGAAAACTGTCTAAAAAAGATACGCAAAACCAGCAAGAAGTGCAAAATGCTAAAATAAGATCCGTTTATGGAAATGGAGGAAAGATGCTACAATAAAATCCAGAACATAGGAAGTGATTTTTGCTGTCAGGAAAAAAAAAATGTTAGAGTTCCACAATATGCAGACTGACTAGGACAGTGGATGGTACAAGAAAGATACCTGTATTTTATGTCTCTGTGCGCTGAGCACAATGTTAGAACTCAGTAGCTTAAAAAGGAGCGACTGATTCTCTGCTTTTGCTCAGCTCGCTAGCACACTGCTGCAGTAGTATATGCACATGTTACCGGGTTACGGTAGTTCTTTCAGTATCAGGGACAGGTTAGGTAAGATTCAGAGCATATAAAGGAGAAGAAATTGCCAAAACTCCCAGCACTTTCCGTTTAATTTTTGCACCTACATGCAGATCAGGTAGGCAAGGATGCCACGCACACTTAGAACTTAAAAAGCGCAGTCTGGTCCTCTGCAGGTGGTGCAAAACTTGGCAAATCTCTTTCCAAAAGACATTCATGGAAGCTGCAGCAGCTATCCACAAGATTCTTGGCCTCAAGTCAAAAGAAAATTTTTAGAAATTATTAAAAAATTAGCTTTTAAGTCTCAAATTTGGACAGTAATCTTCTAGTTTAAAACTACTCATATTGGCACTTTTCATCTTTCTTCAGAGCAGCAGAGTAACGACGCATGCAGTTGTGGAGGTTGCAGAGATCACAGCCCTCTGTTTCACGAGGAATGTGACCACAGGGAGATGAAAGCTCCCTCTAACGTGCACCCCACAGCTCACGATGCGCGCTGGGTTAACACTGCTCAGTTTCAAGCATGTAACGTGGTGGATGGTGTCTTTCCTTTGCTAACAGTTGGTGCACGCTCCTTTCCTCAAGTCAGCTCTGACGGTGCCAGCTGATCCAACCAACACCAGTTCTAAACACAGTCACGTTTGCAAGAGCCCAGATTATTATTACCACAGCGTGGCATCTACTCATTTAATCAGAGGAGTACCTCTAGACTCAGACTGCACATAACAGACCCAATTTAATCAGCAATTTACATATCTCAGGTCTCCCTAATCTGTGTATGTCCTTGAAACGGTCTGACGAACACTGAATTACAGTCACAGGCTTAGCCCTGCATTTTGAAATCTAGAACAGATGGCTGGTTTTTGGCCCGTCTCCCTGTTTCTGCTCAGTAGTTGGAAATTGAAAGTATCACCCTTGAAGAAGCTCCAAGATAGGATACAACCAAACAGAGCATTACAAAATTCTACTGGAACATTTATCTGGGGATCAAAATTATATAACCAACTTTCATGAGTCATCATGGATTAACAAGATCTCTAGTGGCTTAATTCATTCCCAAACTGCAAAACTAAATTCAATCTTTTGGGCCTGAAATGTGAATAAGCCTTCTGAGCTTTTCCCTTTAGCAAATAAATTTGCAATGATGTTACACTTCTTGTTTAGAACTGAAGCGTTCTGTTGGCGCTCCAGCTGCAGTTCACTTCAGCAAATGCACCCCATTTCAAAATAAATACACAGCCATTGCATCTTCCTTCAGTCTTCCATAGAAAACTGTTAGATTCACGACCGTGGTGTTTGCTTTCTGTTCTACCAACACCAGACAATACTTCAACACAGACTTTTTTCCATAAAATGTAATAAAACGAAGAGAGAAAGTTAGCATCACTTACCTTTACATGTTTGTAACCTTATATTTTGTTTATACTGTCATCATTGTTATCAAACACCTCATTCTTCAAACATAAGCATGCTAAGTGTATTAGTACAAAGAACAGAATTACTTTGGTACTACCAACTCTATCAAAGAAAGAAGAATTCACAAGGCATGCTTAGCATCTTGTTACACAGGTGCCACAGATTCTGAAGTATCATCATGAGTTAATGGATTTATTCTATGCTCTCCTCTGAAGAAAGAAAGAATTTAGTTCTCAGCAGAAAGTTTAGTTTTCAGAAAACCAAGGCTAGAAAGCCAAATCTGTTGTTAATTGCAGGAGCCACTTTTTTTTAAATATAAATAAATCCTACCTTTTGATAAACCTGAATGACATGTTTCTAAAAGAAATTAAGCCAAAATAATAATTAACAAAAAAAGTTTTGTACAAAATAAATTGAAAAAGCCATTTAGAGCGAAACATGCAAAAAAAAATATCTCATTTAAAACGCACAATGAAATTACACTTCAATACATTCTGAGATTAGGCAGATGATTTGGGATCTGAAGAGTCAAACCCCTAGCACTGCTACTTCCAACCTTAAGTTTTCTGGGAAATATGCCACCAGAATTTATTAGGAATTAAAATATGTCCTGGTGTCGTAAGACTTTGAAACTCATAATCTGCAAGGTCATATGAAAATATGGTTTGATTTTCTTAATGTATTTCAAATAGCAGGTCAAAATCAGTAATTCTACTGTAATTAGATCTGGAGTACCTTCAGAGTTAGGTTTTCCCTTCCTTCATAGCATCAGGTCAGCCATGTTGTGCCAAAAACTGCCTTAAATATTTTAGTGGCAGAAGCTTAACATTTGCCTACACTAGAACGTAAGTAGTTAATAATCAAAAAGACCCTCACACCCCACCCTCCCCCGAGAATTCTAGAATAAATTAACAGGTTTTACAGGTTCTTTATTTAAAGAGAAGAAGCAAACCCACATCCTTTGATGGGACTATCCACCTCTGCAGCAGCTTATACAGCACCTCATCTAACAAGAGCCCCAACCGTAAGAGGTCCTCCGACCGTAAACTGAACCATCTGTAGCAGTGCTGTTGTGTTACAACTGCACGTTATTCAACCAAGTCCAGATGGAACTGAAACCACCGTCAAGAGTTGCGGGGAAAGACTTCAAGAAAACCACACTGCCCTGCAGAAGTTGAGACTCGGAGGTAATGACAGAAGTTTGAACGCTGCCCAGAGAACTGAGTGACACACGGTGACAAAGAGCAGGTTCCAGCAGCACAAGTGAGAAGCTCGCATGTTCACAGTTTGAGCGTCCGCACCGGGAACGTTGGATGGAAAATTAAGGAAGGATATGACAAACAAAAGTACATAAAGAAAGATGTGCCAAAAGAATGTGTTTGATTAAGACTTCACTTGACACAAAGCAGATGATTAAATTATTTAAAAAAAAAAAATTAATCTTTTATCTCTCTGTCAGAAAAAGAAGAGGGGGGAGGGGGGAAATTTCATACAGCAAATATTTCCCGGGGAAGTGTTAGCTGGCATAAAGTTGAGCAGGGTAAAACATCCACCAAAGGCTGCCACATTTTCATTTTTCACAGAAACAGCTTCTACATTTTTAAATGAAATTACTCTCCAAATTGAAATCAGGCAGTTGTGAAAAACCTGGAGTTTGGCTTAGATTTATTTTGTAGGAATGGGAGACTATGAAGAGGATGCTGAGAAGGCGGCATGTATAGTGACAGAACAGACAGGAAGGAAATGGCTTGGTGCTGATCGGATATAAGCCTCAAAAAAATCAGGCCAAGATCAGGATGATGTATTCCAAAAAATGTCACGTAACCAGGGTACAAAAGTATGGAGATTATCTTAAGGCAAAGATAAACAGAGCCTCACTTCTGCAAACAGAAGCTGTGGATATCAGTGGTCTGAAATAGGAGGTATGTGAACCGACAGGTTTTAAATATAGAAAGAAAGTAGGTGTTTTTCAGTTTTAGGGCTTGTAGTAACTAATTTAAATCATACATGGATTTGAAACTAGAAGTCCAATTAGAATAAAAACTGTTAGTGCAGGAACACCACCTGCTTAAGCTAGCCTTTGGCTAGGCCAACACACCTTCACCCCAAACCCACAAACTGAAGGCCAAAACAGGAGTAACTGATACCACAGTACTGCCATTATTTTAAGATGACCTACGCTAGCACTACTGCCAGAAGAAGCTTTTGTTTCCTGCCCCTACCCTTTCACCTGGGACATTTTTATTTGCATGTTGTCAGCAAGATTGTTCTGGAAATAGTAAAGTGACTGTGAAACACAACCTGAGCTTCTAACGCTACACTGAATATCCAGACTGGGATCCTAGTTCGTGCCATCTACTGACAGACCATGCAGACAGAGTGAGCAGCTTTTGAACTCAGCTGAAGTGCTCTGGCTCTGCAGCACCTGTACCTCAGACATGAAGTGCACAGAACAAACAGCAGAGACCAAGCTGTCTCACTTTTCAGCCCATTTATTCAACTGCTAAAAACAAATGGCTTCTGTAACTAAGAAGAACTACGAAAAAATCATTAAGCCGGTGCATTTTAAGTTGCAGGAACAGCTATGCCATTAATGAGAGAATGTGGACACAGCCACCTAAGCAATGGACTACTAAGGCATGACTACTATCCGATAAAAAGGAAATGCTGCATTACTGTTTCAAGAGGCTTACCTTCTGGTTAGTTTTGAAGTTAGTTTACTAAACAGATTAGTGGAACCCCTGGTTCGAGTCTGTGAGAGCGGCGTTGCTTCGTGGGACAGACTGGGGGAGGCTGGCGGTCCGTTGTAGGTAGCAGTACGTCGCTCTCTGAGCTGTCCGTGGAAAGTGCTCCGACTAGCCGTTCCTCTGGGGAAACGAATACGATCAGGTGTGGTTGCACTGCTAATGCTGTGAGTTGAAGCAACAGGAGTTCTTTGATCGGGAATAGTGCTAGAGCAGAAAACAAAAAACAATGCTAGAACTTCTTTACGAAGCACTACGGTTCTGCAGGAAACACAAAACACTACGTTCTACAGTAAAGCATAAGCAGGCACTTTTATACAGGCCAGGGTTGGAAATATCAACATTATTACAGCACTGTATGGAATCAAAACTCGTAAGAAGTTAGGATTAAAAGGCTGCCGAAACAGAAACCTACACAGACAGAAAAATGCAACAGGAGTATCCTGGAAAAGACCAGATAAACTAGGCATACAATGTTTCACTGAGAAGACTGATAAAGGAACAGGTAAGTAAAGTTTCCTCCCAGGAAAGAGAAGCAATGGGTAACTTTAGTGTCTCTCCCTCCACATTCTATATATACATCTTTGAAAATCTTGCTAATTTGAAAATATCCTACACAAAATTATCTACAGGCGAACCGCTCCAAGCAGTGAAATCCTTCAGGCTACACAGTTAAAGTCTCCCAAAAACTTTGACAATAGGGAATGTCCAATGCCCCTAACACTAGGAAAAGATTCAGGTTCACTACTGCAGGATTATGTCACAGACAGCCTGACACACCACAAGACAAATGTAAACAAGACTAAAAAAAAATGAGGAAACACACATCTTGTGGGCAATATGTACTAGAACAATCTAGGACTAAAATTCCACAGCACAAAGTTAAGAAGCAGTGGGTATAAGTTAGTTTCACAATGATTTCAGGTTCTTACATAGGCCTGAAGTTATCTGCGCCATTGTCTATTGGAGGCAACATCATCTTCGTGTGCACAGAGGCTGACATGGACATCGACTTCTGATGTCGCAGCCGAACACTGGAGAAGGATGTAGTACAAACTGAAGCAGGGCTAGCTGCGTAAGCGAACATTTCTGTCAGGCTGTGAGGGGGTTTGGGTTCAGGCAGAGGCAGAAAGAAGAGCATGATGGACCAACAACAAACTACTGCATAGAAAAAAAGCAAACTTTTCCTTCTGTTAACTGATTTATCAAAGAACACGAACTCTAACAGCCCTTCTATGTAAACAGCAGTTACTACCCTATGTTCCCCTTAAAACGCATCCTTACTATAGCACTTGACATCTACGAAGTGATCATTCTCTTACCATGAGCATTAGTTTGCAGTGAGACCCTCCTTGACGTTCCAGAACCCAAATAACTCGGGTTTCTGGGCCAAAGCACTAGTATAAAGCACTGATTTACTTGTATTGGTCTTAACATTAAAAGAATACATTAAAACACATCAACTGCACTTTCCAAAAGACTGATGATCGCTCCGTTACTGCGGCGAAACACTTTGTTTTCAGAATGTATCCGTGTTCAAAGAAACCACTGGAAGTTGGGCAAGCTGTCAAATCTTGATCTACATCTGGTAACTGAGGGACTTCACAGGCACAATCGAAAACAGCAACATCATGATCTTTAACAAGCCCAGAGAGGCCCAAACAAGAAGGCTACTATTAATCAACCTGTACATGCGGGAGGCAATGAATAACGCTTGGTGTTCTCTGAAGGAAGAGGTACGACTGCTGAAGAGCATCTCTCGTTGCTTGGCCACAAACCTTAAATTCTCCAAGTTACCGTTCAGCCTTTGAAGGAAAGCATATAGTGCTGTCTTAGCAGAATGGCTGGTAAGCTGCCAGCTGTGGAGTATGTTAAACTAGGAGCATGAAATCTTTTTCTTTCTTTGGGCCAAAATGCTCTTTGCAGCCTCTACGTTATCTAGTAATGATGAGTACGGAAGAAAACTGAGAGGCCACAACATGAACTGGGCCTCTCAGGCTACACCACCATTGCCACTCACCTTAAGTTTGCTTTAAAAGGCAATTGTAATTCAGAAATATTGTTCAAGGTTAAGAAATCAGTAATTGTCTGTGAGTCTCATGACACTGCGTGTTCTCTTCCAAGTTACTTCACAGCTACACATACTGAAATTCAAGCCCTGTTATCTCACTCTTATGCCAGACTTTGGAGAGTGCTAGTCCAGCCACAAGTAGCAGGTGACCCACTTCTCAGACTTAGCTCCCAAAGCACTACTAGCAAACACCTCACAGCTCAGACATCAGAACTGCCAGCTAAAACGGTTAGCAAAACCTACTTCTCCTGGTTTAACTCTTCAGAAACTAGAAAAATTCCTCTGAGCCATGCGTGCATCTCTCTGCAATGCTGAACCCAGGAGGATGCCAACTACAAACACTACTGCAACGAAGCCCAGCTTATATATCACCCCAGGGTATTAGGAAATTGTAAGGAAATGAACGTTCTTCTCAAAAGCAATATGCTGAAGTCAAGTAATCCTCAAATAATTGGTCACTAGCCTCTCCACTACTTCCAGGTCCTTTCCTCTCAATTTGTTGCAAAAGATAAAGGAGAAAGAATCTAGTTTTACAACACATTAGCCCCCAGTTTTAGTCACCTGCCTCCAAAGATGTGACAGCTAAAGGTATCAATAAGGTACCAGAGCACATATTAAAACATTTACGTCTCTTCCTCTGAAGCTTTGCTAGAAATCAGCTTCCTTGGATTACCAGCCTGGGAACGTAGAAACAGCGAGCTAACATTCACCAATTAGTGCCAAGGCTTATTAAAAATCTGATGCTGTTGTAAATCATTTTGTTTCACAAATGGTTTAAAGCAATTGCCTATCATTATGAAGAGTGTTTCATGAGTCCCCAAGTGCGTTAATTAATGCTCGGGCTTTGGAGGACAGCCAACAGAGCCATCTCCAGCAGAATGCTTGTGTCAGCCATGCAACGTGTTAAAGCGTGAGACTTCAAACCCCTCTGCTTCTACCACTCTGGCATGAGGTCTTCAAGATGCCTTTCTCCAACATCCAGTCCACTAACTGACTATGGATTCGTCAAAGTTTCCCTACCTTCAAAAAAGTGCCTTCTCGGAGTTCAGTGTGCGAGATAAAACCACAACATTTTAACACCTTCTCTACAGAAAGAATAGAGACTTTAAGTGTTGTTTAAATGTAAATCATGCCTTTTAAGGCAAGTCTCCCACATTTTTACTGGGCCACAGTCAGTATCTGACCGGGTATGGAAAATGTAATTCCAACCTGTAATAAATAACTTAGAGTAATTACTCCTGCCTTTAACATTTGCCACCAACAGACATTTCAAAAGCACAGAAAGCATTTTTAACAAAACCTTGGATTTATGCAAAGTCCAGGTTCTACTTCAGATCTTGCTTCACAGAAACTGCAAGTTTCTAAAGTTACCTTCTGCCATGGTGAGAGTACAGTAACATTAGCGATACCACAGAAACACCTGCAGGAAGCAGCATTCATTCTGAAGAGCCAGTCCCACTCATAGCCATGCTGACTGAGCCTGCATTAAAGGTCCCTGCACGTCATGGCATCGGGTCAAGCCTTTGCCCAGTTACAGCAACTAAACACATTTGGACGTAAATTCTAAATACTGTGCCAAATCACAGCACTTCTGAACGCTGCCAAAACGAACGTGCAGTTTAGTGTTGAGACATTTCAGACAATGAGAAGTCTCCGACTGTAAAGAACCTAGCAATGCATTTTTGTTACCTTTTCTCATTCTAACTCTCTATAAAGAGTAACAAAAGTAGTAATCAAAAATATGCAATAAAAGCTATAAAGATTGTGCCCTCCTCCAGCAGTGAAAATATAAATGTTTAGACATTTCAAATAACCCAAATAGGGCTACAGTTTGCAGGATAAGCAAATTATGTTTGGATACTGTATCAACAATAAAAGGTACATAAGAATAACCAACCGTGGATGTAAAACAGAATTAATAGTTGTCAAGTACTACTCAGTGTTAACTTTGAGCTGAATTCCCGTACGTGACAAACGAGAAAAACAGCAGTTTGCTGAGAAACTCAAAGTTGGGGAAAAAAATAACTTCAAAAGACAGCCCCTTAGGAGTGTGAAGTTACTCCTGTATTAGGGGGACATCGGAATCTCAAGCATTCCTAGTGAGCAGTATCTAATAACTTTTAAAAACGTAATAAAGAAATTGTAGACAAGATATTGCAAAGATATTAGTTTAAAGATGAACAAAAATGTTATTAAACCAAGAAATCAAGTAATCAAATCTGATGAAAACTATTTTGGACAGAAGGATTCATTTTTCAAAGAGAGTTTGGAAAGAAAAAAAGGGCTATTAACATATCAAATCAAAGAATGAACGGTGAGCTTTAATTTAAAACAAACTTGGTAACATTAACAGGGACCAACCAATGAAGGCTGAGACAGACACACTAAGAAACAGTACCAAATAGCTGTGCTGTACTTCACAAGACAGTTGACTGCAGGCCCAGCTGGCCAGCTAGACTTTTGGCAATCTTCAAACTTATACTTGACTTTTTCCTTAATCCCTTTCAGTTTGCGGAAAGCTAGGAGGAAGAGACAGGGTCAAAATCACGTTCTTTATCCCTAAGCTCCAAGAGTCAAACAAGGGACAGACAAGACTTCCCATTCAACATCATAACTTTGCCCCTCTTCTTTATGAACTGCCAAAAGGAAGGGGAAAAATTCTGTGCAAAAAGTGGCAGATCTTTCACCAACCTCAACATGAGCTGGAAGAAAAGTCTTTTCTTCCCATCCTTTACAATAGATCATAAAATTGGGAAGGGGTGGAGAAAACCAGGCAGAGTAGGAGAGAGGTACACATTCCTCCAAGCCTAAGGATTTATTACGTACTAGCTATCTGGGTGCTCTCCTGGCAACAGTCAACTACTTCACTGTTACCGGCTTTAGAGACCAGTAAAATTCTGTGAAGAACAGTTGGTTGGAACTTAAAACCCCTCAGCCAGCCAGGAAATTTGATGGTATTCTTCACAGTTGTTACTCTACACCTAATGTCTACGTTCACTATTACATTTATGCTCTACAGCTCCCCTCAGTCTTTGGTACACAGGGAAGGATGGCACTAGACGTGGGGATAGTGCTAACATGTGAACTGGTTAACTCCAACTCCATTGCATGCTCCAGTCAGGGTTTCATTCAGGTAAGAGGTAACCTGTTATTTCTCTGTTTTCACACAGAATATAGAGATATCAGCACTTCCTTTCTCAAGATGCATTCTGTAAATACTAGGAAGCAATTAAGGCTACAAAAATATCAGTAAGGAACGTTATTAGTCTAAGACAATGGCCTATCACTGTTTCGTCTTTGCTCAGAAAAAAATTACCTTCTCCCTGAGACTCTGTAAAAAAATGTTATTCCACGTAATCCCAACAAAGCACAGCTTAGAGCGAGATGTAAAAAGAGAACGGCCCAAGACAGATGGACTTTGCAGTTTGACACTAAACAAGCCTCTTCTGCAAGCTTATGTTGTCTGGTCACAGGAGTTAACTGATTTAAGATGAAGGCAGTACAAATAGGGCATGCATTTAACCAGAAATATCTGGTAATACCTGTACAGGAAAAACACCCCAACATACTTACAGGTGCTCCATAACCAAGATCTGTACTCACCTTTCATTCAGCATTACAGTAGCTTATTACCAGTTTTTAAATTAGGCATTACAATTATTTGGAAATGTGAAGACAAGGGACATACACCATAGGAAGACATTTCATATACCTGTTCTCCTTGCCATTTTGTATCACTGAATGCCTATCAGCAGTGGTTCTTTCACTACAAACATATGTGTTGCGCCGTGTCATTGCTCCGGGGGCAGTATTATTCTACAATTAAAAAACATAGGCTTGTTATTCCTCCCACAAAAGGCTTTTCTGGGGTTACGTCTACATACAACTGAAGGCTGGTTTACTTCATGCTAGTTCTACACAGTTATAAAACTTATAATAATTAAATAAGTTAAGATACAAACACCTTCCAGTATTTTTAAGGAATAATGCAATCAGAAAAAAATAATTCTAACAAGTTTTCATGTCATATGTCATGTTGATGGTTCAAAATTAACAGCACGTAAAAGTTTTTAATTACCAATATTCTGAATTACAAATTCTCAGCATGTACAGCATTCATCTACATCTGGATAGCCTATGTCTCTATAGCCTATTTTCAAAATACTTTACCACTTGTAGATTGTAGAATTTTCCTTTAAGTTAAAATCATACCCTTGAACAAGATAGGGGAAGCAAAGACTTAAGAAACAAATGTGGTAAAATTCAGTGGGAAGATAAACACAGACTTTTATATAGTAAAGTACTACAAAACACTAGACAAGTTTTGAAAACAGGAAAGAGCAAGTCACATTAAAGAGACAAATTGCAGAGAATTTGAATGTTTAAAAAAAAATATTAAATACAAGCATAATACATTGAGGACAAAAGAACCAGGGGAACTTAAACTACAGACCTTACTTTAGGGGGGAGAAAAGAAATAGAATTACTTTGCCTCTGTCTTTACAGAGAAAGAGGGTGGAGATATGCCCAAGTTGGCGGTCAATTTTCCAGGAACGAGTGAGAAGCTAGGTAATTCACAGATAACAGAATTATAAAAAGTTAGATGCAATTAATGTAGGAAAAAGCATGGTGGTCCAGATAAACATGCACCCCCAGGTTGTAGAGGAAGTAAAAGCCAGCAAGCCTTATATTTTTTCTCCCCACCCCAAGAACATAACACAGGAAACTGCACATGGTTGGAAACTGGAAAAAACTTTTTAAAGTTTTCTTTAAAGAAAAGGATCACGGGGCAAAGCAGGAAGCAAAATAGGCTATTAACTTCAAACATCACTGCTGGGGAAAGTCTTGGAGGAGGCTAGCTTAAGGGAAAGACTGGTCAGCACCTGGATAAGCACATGTTGAGTAAGGATGGCCACTAAGAATCAGGCAGGGGACTTCATGCCAAACTAACCTTTTGGAGTTCTTTGAAGAATTACTGCTATGATAGACAAGGGTAAATTCAGCGGATTTTAAAAAATAGCATTAAGAAAAGGTTTCACATAAATGGTCACAGCAGAGAATCATGGGAAGAAGGATTAAAGAAAAAAGGAAGAACTAGTTCAAGCACAAAAGGAGAGTAGCCAAACCTTTTTTGTCTCCAAACCTGAAATAAAACTGTTACAGTGGAGTATTCTCAATAACCAGCAAAAGCTCCTACAGCACCTTAAGGCAACGTATCTCCTATATAGGGAGTCTCAAGGAACACAATCCCTGAGCTGCAGGTTTAACAGTGAAGCCATCCTGCCTGTTTAAAAGGCTGACCTTTATACATCTTTATGGGAGCATACAAATAAAAATTAAAAAGTGAACTGCGCAACCCCCTGGTGTTAAAAAGTACGAAGAGTATCAAGAGTATTTTAGATTAGCAGAACTATTAATTAAATCATAAGATGTATGTAGCTGTCTCAAGGGTTCTCAAGTACTCTTCACTGGGTATTCCTTATGGATAGGCATGAGCCAAGCATCAGCCAAGTCCTCCCGGCCCTTTGCTTGTAGACACTGCTTGGCTTCAAATCTATTTATTTGACAAAACAAGCTCGTGGCTTCTTCTAATTTCCTCTGACATTTGTCCGTGTGCAAACTCCCTTCTCTTTACTGAACTTGCTGGCAACAAAAGCTGTGCAGCTAAAGTGAAGTTTGGCTTATACGCTCTTGAGGGGTCACGCTGTGCAAGACACTTTGTGGAGCCCTCGCAAACCAACGGTACACTGAAGTACTGTGTGTTAATATCTGCACATCATTTCGTTCTTCCACGTATTAGAGTGAAGCACCTAGAATATCTGACTTTTTCTGGAGGGAAATATGCACAGTAATGGGTGGCTTCCTTCTTTCCACCTGCCTCTTAGAATATTGAGTATTTGCTTCGCTTGAGAAGACATCACGTAACAATAAAACACACTGTGATGCTGCACATTTAGAAAGACAAGACAGCAATCTGTGCTGGATCAACCTTGAAAGACTATGCATTTTCAGCTTTGGGAGCAGACAAGTTTTGATATTCGTATCTGAAATCTGAGGACTCTGAAGATGCACTCTCCCAGCTCTTTCTGGAACTCAAAGACAGAAGGATCAGTACACATTTTTTTCTGTCCTCATCAGATTTCAGAGGTCACGAGAGGAGATTTAAGCGTTTCAAGCTTTCAAATTTCAGTTTTGGCAAGAATTCAGTCTCAGCATTGGGGCCTTTATACTTTTTAGCGTATGACTTTTCAGGATTCATCAGTAAAGTTCTTCAACTACAAGATTTTGTTCAGCCAGTCTACAGACTATTAATCTCTGAACATGACTAAATTGCCCAGATCCACAGCACGGAAAGCCTGAAACTGGTGTCAACAGCACCACACTCCCTGATGCAATGACAACCCCCAGGGTCAGGGTTAGCTGAGTAAGTTCATCCTTGCAGCAGTGTCTGCTACCTTTGCAGGAGGTGTTGACACCGCAAGAACACATGTTGAGACTTCTGAGCATATGCACGCGGTCCGGTGATAGCACAAAGGACAAATCTGTGTTAGAGTCCTCTTTTTCTAGAGGGACTTGGGCCCACTGCTTAGGCAGGCTACTTTCACATCAAGAGACACCAAGGCAAGGACTGATGAAAAGCTTTCAAAGAATCAGCTTCTGACTTACAACGAGCCAGTCCACCTACTTAAGAGCACTAGTACGTTTTTTGGTCCTAAATGACCTTCCAAACATACCATCTAGTCTCCTTTTCCAGTTTTCTTAAAGCTAAACTAAGGGCTCTGGGGCAGCCTTGTTACGTGGACTAAGGAAAAATACAAAGCTGTAAGAAACAAGTTGTTCTTCAAACAAGGAGTTAGCAGTTGCTAACTGTGCAAGCTCTGTAGCAGGTTTTTGTTATTAATTTGGTATTTGGTATAATGAACCTGAAGGGTTTTGATGTACACTTGTTTGGCTTGCAGAACTCTCTAGTTTGCAAGAGTTTAAACACTCAAATTCAGAAGTACAGCTTGGAGCCCCCTGCTCCAAGCCCAGACTTAGCTATCTGCTCTACAAGCACAGCTCTTATCCTTAAGTGCATGCTTAGAAGCTTTGTAATTTAGTAAGAGCAGCAAACAACCGGCTAAGGGTCTCTCCGGCGAGGGCCAGTTCTACTACTTTTGCTGTGTCTGCCAAAGTAGTAACAGGTATTAAGCAGTATTTTTCCTGTCTCTTCAGTGACTTCCTCATCATATTGCTGATTTTAGGACTGAGCACTTAAGTGAGAATACAAACTCTATCCACTTCAAACTTCAGGACAATATGGAACTATAACATCCTTTTTTCTTTCTAGATGCATGCCAATAATGTAAGAAATAAAATTCCCTAATGAGTTCTAAGAACTGTGTAGAAAGTCAGTGCTTCCCTCCATATTCCTAACAGCCAGAAAGCAAAAGACTAATCTCTAGCAGGTAAAGAAGGAGGAAAAAAAAGAGTTTGCATGGTCTGACATGAAGAGCATACAGTTTTAAACGCTAATTCCTTGAGTGACATAAGTCTGATTCCATGTTCATCGCCTTGTACCACTGCTTGCAAAGGATCAGTTGCACACCGAACCAGAAGAGAGACATATCCTACAGTTATGAGCTGAAATTTCATTTCAGCTACAGTGGTATAAAATTTGAAATCAGACTACCGAAATAAATCCCCAGATTTGGGAGTGGCATAGCACAGCAGTTCAAAATACTGACGATACTAAATGTAAAATGTGTTGCAACTGTGACGCAAAGCTCCTGAATAAGGCACCACACAGTACTGGGTGAAGTCCGACGTAGGACAGAACTGATTTGATTATCCTGCCATTCTGAGTAGCTAAAAACCGTCACGTAAGAAGAAACAAAATCTGAATGGTTTCTGGGCTGATCAAAAACCAAGAAGGGAATGAAAAAGGGTGCCCCAGAATCATGAGCTCTTGTTCCCATTTATCAGTAACAGCTGCTGCAGTAGAAGACGTGTCTTTCTAAGGAACTTCTGAAATCCCCCAGCCAAGTCACAGCCACTGAGCCAACGCCAATAAAGCAACACAAATCTTGTTTTACTCCTTTTGTTTCAGATTGTCAGAAAGCTGCGAGCTCAGGAAGTTCTGTTCTTGTTTGTTGTAAGTAGTGGTGCTGAGTATACGACCAAATACGACAGCTTTGTGGGATAAGTTTACAGAAAAAAAGTCACTCCGCTGCCAGTTGAATAAAGGACTGGGAAGTTATTTCTTCTGAAAAGAAGAAAGATTTTCCAGACAAAATACCAAAGTTTTAGAAATTACATGTTAAAAGACTCACGAGTTACTGTATGAAAGCAGATTTCCAACTCTGCCTCAGAGGGAGGCACCACAGACTACCTAAGTTAAAGCCAAACCAAACAAAGGGTTTTCTTTCATTTGGCACACTGCCTACAGCTAGACCCTGGAAGCTCACGGTTTGAGCACCTCGGTATGTTTGCTTTGTTGTTGTTGAGGTTTAGGGCGGATGGGGGAAGCCCACAAGGACAAAAGCCAGGCACGCTGCTTTTAAATACAGGTTGAAAACCACCTTTGAACAGTTTTCAGAGCTACTTCTTTGATAATCGTAATACATGTGTCTGTGACTTGGAATAGCCTAGTTGAGAACAAAAGTTAGATGGCTCCCAGTACAGGTGAAACTATAAAACAGGATGATAAAAACAGATTTCATTCTTCTGTACAGAGGCTACAGAAGAGTAGGTGGCGATATCAGAAATAACTCATAGAAACTTCAGGGGAAGTTTCTTTTCTCCTTCTATTAAATGATTTTTTCAACACCCAAATTATGTCTGTTCACTAACAGCTACCAGTGCTAATTACTAACACTTACTAACTACGTCAGGAATATTAAAAGAAAATGAGTAGCTGACTGCTGCAGGAGGAAAAAAAGGCAAGTGTATCAGATACCTACATTTACTCTCGATGAAAAAGTAGTAAAATCAGCACCACTGATAAATCACCTTTTCACCCCTCAAAAACATTTCAAGGTTTTGATAAATAAGCGTTTCTACTTACACTAGGAACAGCCGAACTTTTCTTACGTTCAGGAATATCAGCCTTATTGGGATTGCTGGCATTTCCAAGCATTGGACTAGCTGGTGCAATTCCTCTTCCTGCAACAGCACTACTGCTGGATTTTCTTGACTGAATTCCTTCCTCTTTGAGGTCACTGTCTGTAGTACTAGTCTGGCTTCTTTTGGGATACGCCACTACTGAGGGGATGGATGGTCCAGCTTAAAAAAAAAAAGCAAACACAAGAAACAGGAAAAGGATTTTTCTTCTCAGAAGTTCAGTAGCTGTTTTTCACTACGATGGAAATGTATTCACACATAAGACTCAAAATAATTAACACCAGGAATGAGAGTTGCACCAAGATAATTATTTATCGAAATACACATATTTCCGAAGACAGTAAAATACTGTGAAGAACAAAAACCTTTCCAGGTGAAGATAGTCCTTGTTTTCCATGAAACAATTATGAATTTCATGGAGGCTTCCGGTGTTTTGAGTACTGGCCTTGGTCTGGCTTGCTAGGACAAACCCTTTAGAGTTAACTCATTCAAACCAGATGATCAATAGCAGGAGCTGGCACATGCTGTTCAAGCCAGCTTCTGATAAAAACACGTACCTGGTGGTAGAACCCTGGACCACTAGCAGCATTAATGGCCATGCTGTGCTCCTCAACAGCCCAGAAGCAGCGGTGGTTTGCCACCAGCCTCCAAGGGAGTGCCAGGAACAGAAACCATTTTTGGCACACCTGAGGAGGAGGCAGACCCTTCAGAAATCCCAAGCTCCCTCTTGCTTTAATAGGTTCCTGGACACCAGAAAAACCCTGTGGGGATGTCAGGGTTGTGCTGACTCAATTACACCTCCTCAGAAGAGGATATGTCAAGATGCATCAGCTTTGGAGTCAGCGTTTCAAGAACAGTAAATAATAAATCAAAAGTGCATGTATATACACACACATTTAAAAATATATGTAAGTGTATATAAAAAATATACATAAATATATAAACCAGCATCACAAACCACTGTAACTCTCATCCCAGAAGACTCCCCAAGGAAAGCAACCTCTGAATGTACTTGAGGTAAATAAAAGTCAACCTAAACAGAGACTTCTTTTAGGAGTTAGTGTCTGGGCAGGAAGATGTTTAAGATACTTAGAAAACCCTAAGCTACTATCTTGCAACCTCATTAAACAGAAGAGTTCTCAGTTTGTCCGAGTCACTGATCGTTAGAAATTTAATTCCTGCAGGACAATCAAGTGACACTACCCTCAGGAAACGAGAAGTATTGGCAAACTGACATTTCTTCATGTTTTAGACACAAGCTGACCTACTAGTGTCAAAAGAAAACAAAAGCTGAACAGACATACAAGCGCATGGGGGAGGAGTACTGTGCTTTTCATGAAAAAGGGGGTTGCGACATTCTCTTCAATTTGTTTACCAAGACTTTCCCAGCAGTCAGGAATGCAAGGGACAACACAAACATTCTCTTCAATTTGACTTTCCCAGCACAGTCAGGAATGCAAGGGACAACACAAGGCAGGGTAAGACAATTAAGTTGGTATAATTCAGCGTTCCTCTAGAGGCTGTTTTTGAAGGCGTTATAACAAAACCAATTTAAAAAAATATTATTCATCCAGTAAATTATTTAACCACCATGCTGTGAGCTACACCGCTGTCATCTTCCACACCTTGGGGAATAGAGACAAACTCAGAAACCGAACGGAACCGGAGGTCACTATATTCTGCAACACTGAAAACGAGAATTGCTCACCATGATCACTGTACCGCCGCTGTTTCTGGCTAGAAGATATGCTTCTCTGAACTTTGTGATGAGGAGATTGTCCAGTGCTATTATTAAGATCACTACTTGGCCTAACTTTGGCAAGTGAAAGGTTGCTGCTGGAGCTTGAATCACTTGCATCCAACTACAATACAAACAAGAATATTAAAACAAGTAGTTCAGACAAAACAAGTAAGACATTCACCACATTATGGGAGCAGTAACAAGGAAGCAGAAGGAAGATGGCTCTGGTAGATAGGAATTTTTTTTTGATATGGGTCTGGTAGATAGGAATTTTTTTTTGACAGCAAGGAAGCTGCTTAGAGGCCACAACTTCTCTTAGTTTCTTGTGTCTTAGGTGAAACTCAGTAGAATTTGCAGCTCCTCAAAGGACAATCAGATAAAGAAAATCCATCTCTACTTTCAGTACTCTCTCCTCAGAGCTCTTTAAGATTTTAACAGGAAGACAGAATACATTTAGTAGAAGCCACCACACCAACTCCTCCAGCAGAGGAACCAAGAGCAGCTGACTGATGCAGAGTCCTCTCAGGATCATATGGAAAGGTAATCTTCAAAGCAACAACTTTTTTAGGTTGATCAGTCCTGTTCCTTGGTTATCTTAAAATATTTACAGCTGGCATATTCACACCTGAGCTCCTAGACTAGGCAGGACAGTAACTGGCATACAAAGTCCTTCAGAGGAGTAACTGCTGAGGAAGCAAGGTAGTTTTGGGGAGCCTAAAGGCAAGAGTTTACTGACTCACATTATGGTAAGAGCAAACACCCATTTGGAGAGTTGACACTGATGATTTAACAATGTAATTTTAAGTGTAATGGACTTCTGTACAGGAATGCAATGCCTATAATTACCAACAATTTTTGCTTCTGACTTTGCCAAGGACACTTCATGATTTGTTTCTTTGCATTTGTAAGAATGGAACTTACCTCTGACGATTTCCTTCCTAGCAGTAAGTATGTAGCTGTGATTTCATCATATTTCATTTTACTAAGGGATTCTTGAATTTCTTCTTGAGAATATCCCATTCCTACCATAATATCTAAAAAAAATACACACTGTCAGTAACAATCCCTCTGATGTTTAGGCTGGCTGAGTATTTACGTTCAAGAGGAAGAATGGAACATTTAAAAATAATTAAGCAAAATGAATAAGTGTGCGAATGTCAGCCTGGTGAAATACCAGTATTAAAAGATTAGTTACTTTTTCCAAATGGCAAACAAGCACAGAGTTGTGGAGGGAAAAAACAGTAGTATCATGCGAACAGTATCATATTCTGAAAATACTCAATTACCTATTCTTTTCTGGTCCGAGATATCTAGTTCTGGTTCAACAAAAGGTTTAAGTTCATCCTCCTCATGCCCTGCATTGATCCACCTGTCCTTCATAATTTGCTATAAAAGGAACAGTTTTGTTAGTAAAATAACACTTAGAGCAAAGAAAATGAGCTGTTGAAAGAACAACTCCCCCATCTACCAAACATTTGGAACTTTTCTCATTATTCTTTTCCAGAACAGGCTCCAGCACCTACTCAAGTTTTGTTTTGCTCCAGTGAGAAGAATCAACTATGCACATCAAGCCAGACTGCCTCCCAACCAGCTGTATTCTAGCACACAGCTGAAAGCTAAAAGCCCGTAACACAGACCAGGAACAGTGTGACAACTCTGACAAGTCTAGTACATCCGGGCTTGACTATGGAAGTCTGTGGAAGCCAGTATTTTTTTTGGCCTTTCTCCTCCATGATGGTCAAAATTCAGGCAAAAGACAACCACACCATAACCTAGCAGTCAATGCTTCCAGTTCGTGTTTGAAAATGTGGGAAATGTCCTGGTGGATCACCCATTAATGCAGGACTCCACAAGCTAACCATCAGGAAAGGTTATACAACATACGCAGTGCAGTCCCATGTTGACTCTGAAAGTAATACAGTTTGGAAAATATAACGTTTGTGCTATTACCTCTAGAGTGCCTCTTTTTGTTGGGTTTAGCACCAGGAAACGTTTGAGGAGGTTTTCACAGTCTGTGGACATGTAGAAAGGAATCCTGTATTTTCCCCTTAGCACTCTTTCTCTAAGTTCCTTGGTAAGAGAAAAAGAGCACACAGTAAGTTGAAACCAGCAAATCACTTAAAATATGAGATAAACATGCCCAACATTCTACAAAAACGTACCTTTAAGTTCTGTCCATCGAAAGGAAGAGATCCACTGACAAGAGTATAAAGAATAACGCCTAAACTCCAAACATCTACTTCAGGTCCATCATATTTCTTCCCTTGAAAGAGCTCTGGAGCAGCATAAGGTGGGCTGCCACAAAAAGTGTCCAGTTTATTTCCAACTGTAAACTCATTGCTAAAACCAAAGTCAGCTATTTTAATGTTCATATCTGCATCTAGCAATAGATTTTCAGCCTGGAAGAGAAAGAATGGTTTGTAAGATGAACTTAAAATAACTGATTTAGAATGCTGTTTTTACTCAATCTTAAAAGGCAGAGAGTGAAATATCTGTTAATATTCCCTTCCTTGCAAAGCCCGTAGGCAAGATTTGGTCTATTGTCCACATACATCCCTATTTTAAAAATCTCTGTACACTAGCTTTGGACTATGGGAGCTGTTAAGCTGCCCAAAAACTCCGTTATTGTCACCTGTGTTCTTCACAGAAATGCATCCTGAGCTACTGTAACTTACATTTTTCATGTATTAATATGAAAACAAAATACAGTCTCACTATCCGTACTTCACGCGGCATTCTCGCAAAGTCTGGTAACACACATAACCTTTAAACATTTTTGAAGTGTTTTTTTCTTTGTTGGTGGTGTTTTGTTTTGTTCAGGGGTTTTTTTGTTTAAGTTACAAAGTTATGACATATCGAACAAGTTATGTGGCAGCATGATTAATACAAAAGGCACAGTTCAATGAAGGGATATACCATGTCATGCCAAGGTATGAAGCCGCCATACCTTGGCTTCATCATCACAACAGGTAATTCATTCTGTTTGAGACCAAGACTTGTCATACCTCCATCAAAGTACGCTGATTTTTTTTTTTTTAAAGGATCTCTCAGCTAACACTGACCTGCATCAGATTTGAATCTGACCAGATAGTGAAAGGCTATCTTTCAGCAGCCACTGAAGTTCTGTATTTAAGAGCCTTATTATTTAAAATGATGTTATACTGTAAACATTCCACAAAACTTGCTAGGACACATGCAAAAAAATAAATTAATTAAAAAAAAATCAGAAAGCTTAGTACACTCTACACTGGCACAACAGAGATCACACCCCCAGGTACAGAAGCTGACACACACACTTCAAGCACTTTTTCCTACTCACCTTGAGATCTCTATGAACAATATGCTTTTGATGGCAATACTGCACTGCGGATACTATCTGGATAGAAAACAAGCCCAATTATGTAAGTGACATCTCAAAGAAACAGGAGTTTTAATCAAAAAGTTCAACATTTATTACTAAAAGCTAGCATGTACTTATCCACTCAGAGCTACATAACCAAGTACTACAGTGACCAGTGTATTTGGGGGAAAGCTGCTAAATAACTCAAGTGTTTGTTATTTGATCTATTCGGTTTCTACTACACTTGAAAGAGGATTTTGTTTTTCCTGTGTGACTAATTATAGATCAGTAGAAGCAATGACTTTCAGAAAGGTTACTGAAGTATTTCCATTCCAGTGCTGTATACAGCTATAAAAGCTTTCCCTCTGGACTGAAGTTCCCCAGTCCCTCTCCAAAGGTGATTTTTCATGCTGCAGTATGGAGATAAAAGGGTAAGAAATGGGCTTAGCTACTGGAGAAACTACTGGGAAACGGCTTGTTTCCCAAAACATATGCAGTAAGAAGCAACCGTGCATCTGACAGAGGCCTGCTGTCTGAGGGCATATGGTTTATTGTATTTTGCACACTGTACAAGACTAGTAAGCTCAATGGAAAAAACTCTCTCTCTGAAGTACAACGGAATAATTTCTTCCATCATCATTTCCAAATATCATTATGTTTCTCCTGCTTTATATAGCAAACTATATAAGCTATTTACACAGTACAGTGCCCTAGTACATTGCTTTAGAGTCACAAGTGTTGCTTCAGAACTCTACATGTATGGAAAAACTGGATAAAGTCTTATTGTTACATGACCACAAATGCCGTCAAATACATTTTAGTCATGGATATGGGATCAGAATTGAGGCAGATGTTATGACTTGAAATAAGTGGAACTACATATAAAAATAATTTAATGTAATAACTATGCTTAAATAAATGTATTTCCAGTCTTTGTTCGAGATTAAGAAGATTTCCACACAGAAAGATGAATTATCATTACTGTCACAAAAAGGTAACTCATGACCAGACCACCCAGCTTAGCAGGAAGATCCTCCTCTACTGGTAAAAAGCAACAGTTCTCCTGCTCAGTATTTAGAGTAAGTGAAAGTAAGGTTCTTGGTAAGTCAAAGAACTGACCTACCAGCCAATTTTGCATTCAAAACTTATGTGCCAACGTTATGATCTTTGTGCCCCTGTATTACTGAACTGCGCCCGTGCAAGATGCCACCTTAGAAACCAAGCAGCCTATCAAAAGTTGCAGTATTTCCATTCCCTACAGTTTTGCTTGCTTCTTTATATATTGGCTTTCAGACTCCAAGGTCAGTTTTCTACAGCTGCTGAACTGCCAAAGTGCTCCCATGCCACCACTTGTGCCATCTTTTTGGTTTTCCTTCCTTCCCTCTCCACTACCATTACTTCAGTGCCAGTGACAAGCCCAGTCTGCAGGGGTGTCTAAGGGTGACAGCACGACAAACACCTCAAGCTTTTTTTAGGAATGCAGAGACACAGCACCACAGTATTCACCCCTAAACTGCTTTTACTCTGTCTAAAAGCAGAAGGTCTAGCAGATGATCAATCACTAGTTTCCTTTGGAGATGCTTTTGAACTACTCTGCACTGCAAGAGGATTGCACAGAGACTGCAGAAGTGAGTCCAATCTAAACGGAAGGGAAATAATGCAATGTTTATGAGATTAATAATTGAAGACCTGCAGTCAAAACTGAATGGAAGATAGCACAGAGCATGGCTGCACTGGACTGAGTCCCTTTTGTCCTCCACCTCCCATCCCTCTTTCCACTGACAGCCCCTCACCCCGCACCTACTTGAGTGTGAGAAACTTGCTGATGCTTGGCAGGTGGGGAGAAGAGGGGAAGAAACAGCAGAGCTTTCTGCTTAGAGGTAACAATTGGAGCACTGAAATACATTTCTTGGAAGGGATTTCAAAAATCTGTATAATCATAGGTTTTAAAGAACAAGTCATCTCCAGGCAGAGAAACCATCCCTCGTAAGGATTAAATGACAAAAGGAGAGATAAATGACCCCTCAAGGTCCCTTCCACACTGCCACAAAGTGGTTTTTTTTCTTTACTGGAACACAAGAGTAAGATGTATTGTGTGGATATTTTTTTTTGTTTTCCAAGATCTATCCTAACCTCTACCAGCATTAAAAATTCTAAATTCCTTCTGCAGGAAAACAGTGGCAAGACTGAAGGAGGCCAGATCTAATCAGCTGCTGTAAAGGATGAGAGGGAAGTAATACACATGGATTTTGGGTGACTTCCTTCCCCGAGTCTCGGCTTCCCATTTTTGCATTAATTCTTATCCAGATTCTTCTATGGCAAAAGGATCGTAAGATCTAAGCAGAACTGCCTGGAAGCCTGTAATAGGGAATGAAAAACAAGGTGACATTAAGAATGCAAAACGTTCTGGATTTGAATTTCTCACACATGGCTGCACAAAAGGAGCTTGAAATGGAGAACTGCAGAGCATGGCGGTATTTTTAGTGTTTGTACCCTCTCCTGAGCTCCTTGTCAAGCGTGACTGGAATAACGTGATCCCTGTCTTTTACATTCTTTTTTCCTGCTAAAAACCTTAAGTATGCATAACAAACTGATAAAAAAAACCCTAAAAAAAAAACAAACCCAAAGCAAAACCACAAACAAGCAAAGAGGGGAGAATTGCCAAATTCTGCTCTTTGCCTGATAGAGAAGTGCCTCCTCAGATAAAACACAAGTGTTCGATGCAGAACTCACATCTACTGGAAGAAGAAACATGATCTGAATACAAGATACAATACAACCTATTGTAAGAACTAAGCTCAATACCATGGCACAACTGTTTCTTCAGTTCAAGGAGAGCAACCGTCTGTTAAACCAGTTAGTGAATTATAAAAAACCCTCCTTATTATGTCATAAGGCCCTATCTAACATAAGAACAGCTGCACTGCATCAGATAAAAGGTCTACAGAGAGCATTTTCCCTCCAACAATGGCTAAAAGCTATAGGAAGCTGTTCTGGGACTAGAGTAAGGTGAAACGAATAGTTTTATCACCTGTAAACCCAGCAAGATCTAGTTTCCTTTGACACTGCCCCACAGGCAGCCCCAGTGTCTAATAAACGCCAAGCTCAGATCAAAGTTTCCCGACTTCAGTCCTGCACACACACTCCTCTCTACCCAAGTGCAATGCTACATATTCTCTCCTCAGGTTATTACTAGGTTTCTCTCCTTTTTTTCAGATGCTCATGCATTCGAAGCTCTCTAGAACCTCCCATCTTTGAGATCAACATCTCTCAAGACCTCTCTAGGATCTAAAATTGGCTGAGCTTGGTAGCCGGAAACTCAGCTGTTGAGGGAGGCCAGAGCACAGCTGTCTGTGGCAGGAGACAAGCCTGTAAGAAGAAACTGAAAACATACTTTATCTTTCAGTGGATTCAAGCGAGGCCATCCATATATCTTTACTGACAGCATTCAGTCTACTGAAGTACAAAAAAAGAATAATCAAGCTGAGAATCTGAAGTACATAAAATCAGCTCTTGATGGGTCAAATACCCAGCTCAGCAGGTAATGATCTTTCAAATTCTTTGCCTTCATATTTGTTTTTGAAAAATGGGAGTTGCAGATATCCTGTACTACCCACCCAATCCCATAAAATTAAGCACTGAGTGTACCTGTAAAACATGTTTGACCTGTTTCCACAAGTTTTCACTTAAAGGGGAGATGAATAGTTAGAAAGAAAAAAGGTAATTGTTGAACAAACATGCAATTTCAATGGAATGACTGCAAGATCTTTTTCCACACAACTCCTGATAAAAGAAGCTGAGGACAAAGAGCAGAGAATCATACCAGCAGCAGTTTTCAACATTCACATCTGAGAGAGAACAGCAAATCCTCTCAAGCTACTCTGAAGCTCCTCAAGTGACATTACAAAGAGCAGACGGCTGAAGTGGGAACGAGCGCTCCACAACCCATCGCATCTACTCCAACACAGCACGGAAACACACACCAGAAACCCTCAGTCACAAAGGAAAGTTCTCTACCTGCCAGAATATGAAAGGCAGGGAAGCAGCTTTAAAAGACCTGGAAGATTTTGTTAAAGAGGAAGAAAAAAATTTTCTTACTATCAAGCTGTATAATTCCAGTAATCACAAATCACTTCTGAGGATATGAAGGTGCAGATGCTTTTTTGGGTTGTTTTGTTTGGTTGGTTTTGTAGGTTTCATGTTTGTTTTTGTTTTGTTTTTGTAAGATTCAAGTGGGTAAATACAAGATATAAAGAGCTGAGAGAAAACAAAGGAACAGGGATTTCACAGGAATGCTTTTGATGCCTCCTTATATTGGGTAAAATACATTTCTATTTTCTTTACTTTCATTGCTACTTTTGAGCTTACTGTTCATCTTGCTGTCACACAGTCCTTACTATATGAGGCAGATGGAGCAAAATAGTCGTGACGGTTTCCTAGTTCCCAAATTGTTCCCTTTTGGTCACACTACCCACACTAGAGAAGTGTTCAAGTTTTCTTTACAAGGCATGTTGTGAAAGTCATTAATCAATTTCCTGGAAGTCTCATATTATATTAAATTTCTTCTACTTCTGGATGGCTCTGCTGAAGAAGCGAAGCTCCTGGAGGCTCCCATTCCAAAAACGGATCTGACTGTCACGTCACTGTCACAGTTCACCAGCTTAAAAGCCCTACGTACCGTTCAACAAAACACCCTTGTTGTCCCTCTTCATTATTTTAAAGTGACATTAAGCAGGAGTGTAATTTTGATATTTATTAGTTTTCACAGCATCATCTAGGTTATCCAAGTGACCAAAGGGATGGAAATAACGCAGGCATTTACAAATTTCTGCACAAGAGCAGAAAACAAAGTATATCAGACCAGTCAGATCTGCAAATGAAACTCCAGATGCTCCAGGAGCAGAAATTTGGATTTAATTAGTTATGCAAAAATGTTTGATTATGTTCAATAGTGCTTTACTGCAGAACAGAAATGGTTTTCACAGATCAATGAAATCCCATCATCTTTGCAGGGCTAGTTCATCCATCACAAAGCTGAACTAACAAACCTAGAAATGACTTTTCCGTGACTTTTTAGAACAACTACTAAGCTGCATCTCTTCACGTAAGCGGATGGATGCAAATGGACGCCCATGGCATGCCCTGCCTGGCGTTCTGAAACCAGCCTGTTTGTAGCCTGTTACATTTGAGTAACTTCTAAAAGGTTACAGGACAGCTGAACTAAGGATATATGAAATCAACCCAGAGGAAATGAATTTTGGAACAGAATACACTTCCGAATCAAGCAGTCACTGTGTTCTGGCACACAGCACTAAGGAAACTAGCACCGCTGAATGGACTACTAACGCCTTCAAAGTACTGCTGCAACCCAAGTTGTTTTCCTCACTCGGGGCTACAAGTCCATAACATGCTGAACGCTGCCAAAAGTCAAACGCAAAGGACGGACAGTTTACTCGTTTCAGCATTAAAACCAGAGTGGAAGGGGGGAAAGCTGATGTATAGGAACATTATACATACCTGTCTAAATTTAGCTCTAGCCTCCTTTTCCTTCATTCTTCCATGTGCAACCAGATAGTCAAACACTTCCCCTACAATTCAATAACAAGAGACATTAACACTGATTTCAGAATCGAGAGACTCCTCTCTAGCAGTTACCCACAGCAGCTTCACTGGAGTGACTGTACTTCAAGTTTATGATTACAGGTTAGCTCAAGAGCACAAGGCACAACTGCCAGGCAATTTAATACACTGCCATCTCTCACATGAGAAAATAATAAAACTTAATGAATGACTGGATATAGAAAAACCCCAACATTTCCTTCCAATTATTTACGATAGAAATTGAGCAGCATACTTCAGTATTCTAAATAATAATGACACGTACCCCTTCACAGGCTTTCTGACAAGGGGCTTCCCCTCCCCCTTCCCCAATAATAGCTTCATATAGGAGAACATCAGACGACATTTGTAGATACTATCATACCAGCACTAGAATTTTCCTTTGTGCATGTGTATAAATGCCTTCTACCCAAAATCAGAAATTTTAGCTTTAACCAAGGCTTGGAAGAGGTACCCACAACAATGGTCACAATAATGAGCATGGCAGGACACGCTGACATCACCCATCATGCAACTAACAGATCTGTAACATGCACTGAAAAGGTTTACTCCTGAACAAGCCCAGTGTTGTATGGCTGTGGATGACTAAAGGAAATTACTAAAGCAGTACTAAAGATCTGTTGTGTTTTAGGTTTGGTTTTTTTCCCCCTTTAATCAATCCAGTCATTTTATAGCACGTCAATATGGACTACACATACGGCTGCACATAAAGCTCACTGGCCCATGAAACGCCGACATATTTTTGAGACCATGGCAGATTTTCTCTACTAAAAACCAATAGTCACATACATAAAAACTTCTAAAAATACAGACTAGTACGCTGTTCTAAAAATTCTTGGATAATATGCAAAATTAATAAAAACTTTAGAAGTGGGTCAAACATCTAAATATTCTCTAATGAGCAAGAAAACACTGTTCTGCAGAGAGCTACCTCACAAGGGAAGAGCTGAGTAACTTCACATTTATTTTCTGAAAGAAGCAACCCCACCAGTTTTGAATAAAACACCCAGAGTCATACAGCAGGAAAAGCAACAACTGAGTAATGTGAGGGAATATCAGGATTTTCTACACAACAGCCTTACTTCCCTCTGTAGTGTATTATTTAATACTCAGCACAGATCACGCTCTCAGCTGTATTTCACAGCTGTTTCTTCAAAAACCTTGGAGGAACCAACCTAAACACATCTTCACAATTCATGGAAAATGACATGAGAGAAAGAGTTATCCCCAATTCAGGTGTTGTCACTGTAGCAATACTTTCTTTCATCCTGCAGCCAGACTTTGTATGCATCATGTGTGACCAGTACCCTGATAAAGAGGAAATATGGGAAATGGATGCCTTCCCCCAAGATCACCAGCCATTCTTGTCTTGCCCAACACGGCATATACAAAGGGTACTGCTCACAGCCTTTTAGCCCTGCAAAGGATGTCTCTCTCCATTACCCTAAGAAAGATCCTCACTGCTTTAGAGAACTGCTGTCCCTTCTACCTCCTGGAAGCCAATCACTAGATGGCAACAGGACTTCACTTTCAAGTGCAGTACCATCAAACAGCACAGAGATGCCTCCACAAACACTTGCACTAGTCAGTATTTTAATGGTATTTTACCAACTTTGTTTCTGTTTAGACAAAGCCTGGCTGAGCATTCAGGGAGCTACTAGAAGAAGACATACGCAGAATCATTACCTGAGAGACAGTAATTCATTAAACTTCACATAATGCAACGTCAGAGTCAGAATTCAGTGTTGATTTTGTCTGAAAAGAAGTCTCTGTATCTCTCTCCCAAAGCTAAAGCCTCAACTATTTGAGATTCCCAGCTGCTGATGCTAAAGGGTCACATTGACAAACTGAGTGCTATTAGGTTTTAGCCAGCAAGGAGTAACTTAAGCCTGGATACCTTAATTCTAGCTCTGGTGAAAACATCTGACATTGCATGATGCGCACTTTTCTCCCGCCCCTTGCAATCAGGAATAAACCTAAGTTCTTCCTGAAATGGTGTAAGGCTAAGCCTAACAACTCTGACAGTAGACTGTCTGTGACAAAGACATGTCAACAGTCATCAACACCTAAAAAGCAAAAGTTGTAGTATACATGCTTTTGAAGCAACAGTGAAAGAGTATGTTTCATCTGACCATATTTTACCAAATACCTTACACAGAACAGGACACCAGAGGTAGGGAGCTGAATACAATGAGTTGAAAAGACTGTCATTTGTTAGGAAAGATCGACAGCCCCATAAAGCTTCCCAATAGAGTTGCAAAACAAAGCAAATGTTACTAAGTTCAGTAAGTTCAGATGTTGGTTTTAAAAGCTATAATTATGTTGCCCAAAGAAGTCCCAGAGAACATTAAAGATCTTGCTTAAGATCTTACAGTACAGTGACATGAATATTTGCTGAAAAACGAAACTTTAAAGAAAACAAGTGCTTTCTCCCACATGGCAATTTGTTTACATAAGTCATCACAGCAGAGAGGTACTTACCCCCACTCGCATATTCCATTATTAAATAGAGAGTTTTTTCAGTTTCAATGACTTCAAATAGCTTCACTAGAAAAGAAAACCATTTATTACTCCGTTAACTCATTGCAGAGAAATCTGTCAGAGAAAAACAACCTCAAAATCCCCATTTGCTTGCAGCTTGACACTATCAGACTATCACTCTGAAGAAGCTTTTTTCTGTCTCATGTTCCTAAATGGAAAATACTGTAACACATTTGGTCAACTCATACAGAACAACATTTTCTCAGGAAACAATACTTTGCTTCTGTTACATGGGAAAAGCCGCTAAGTTAAGTAGAACTTGCACAGATTTGAGCTTCCAATAGCCATTTGTATGCCCTGAACTGGCAAGCACAGTGGCAATTGCTGACAGTAACAATATTACATCATTTAAATGTACAACCCTGAACAACTTCCTAACCACTTCTTGGGTTTGGTATATACTTATTTTTTAATGAGAGTTTGAATTCAGTCAAGATCAATATTATACTCAAAAGGAGCAAAATTATCAGCTAGCTAAGCAAACACAATAGTTTGTGTAAAGTGACCGAAATGGTGTGGGTGCTCCCCCCCCACCACCCCACTCTGAAAAAGCATTTATTACTGCTGCTTCACAGTCAACTGACACCCTAGCGCAGAATCACCTTTCAAACTCATACCACAACAATTTTAACAGTGAAAAAGCTAACATTTCTCCAGACTTGAAAGTTATATGAAAGAAACAAGGTACCTATGTTTGGATGATTTAAGATCTTCATTATTCTTACTTCTCTAAAGAGCTGAAATAAACAAACACAAAGTAAGTTAATGAAATAGGAAACGCTCATTCTTCCTAAAGCCTGATCATGTTGTTATACTTAAACACAAAGGGCAAACACTACTATTGGCATTTCAATGAAGATCATTCAGTAAGCACTTATTGGAGGGAAGAGTTAAGTGCCTGCTTCTTTTAACATCCCTCCCCAAACAAACCAACCCTTGAAAACCTGAAGACACCCATAAAGTGCTCCAGCAGAGAGAGTGCTCTTTGAGCTCCAGAGAGAGGGGATCTTAAGCTCTGTGCCAGAAGAGCTTGAAGACCATAAGCCCACGAAGGTTCTTGCTGGCCAGTACATCTCACATGATCTTTCACTCCTTCACAGAAAATACTGTTCCCAAAGTTTCGTGAACCCCCATCAGAGCACCTTCTGATGACCACTTCCTGTTACAGGTTTGACTTCACTCTTCAGTACTTCATTAAATCCATGGAATTACTGTGCTACCACAGCAGCTCACAGGTAAAAAACCAGCTGCTTTTACTGCACAAAAAGCATGTTATCCAACTACACCAGCAAGGAGTATGTTTTAAGGAGATATGGGCCAGCAAGGCTCCCCCTCAGCCCTTCAGAAGCATTCCTGAAGCATCTAGTCCGGCGTCTGTCATTGCGGATCCACCGGTTCTTGCTGATGGACATCCAGCCTCCAGGCTTCCTCCCCAGTACAACACACTGAGCGTATTTGCCAAAATCAATAGGGCAGAACACACTGCTTTCCTGACCTAATAACCACCAGCAGACAGAAGAAACACCATTACTTCAGGGGTACAGTCTCAAAGGGATCAGCCTGCTCCCAGCCCTTTCACCACCCATCTTCCTACACAACAAGATCATGCCACTTCCCTTTATGCAAACACCGATGTTAACCCAGAACAACCCACAAGGCCCAGGAATGAACTTAACAGAAAACCTCACAAAACATACAACTCCCCAGATAAAAACAGTCCATCTCAAGTTTTCTGTTGCAGTTGCTCACCCCAGCGCATCTATTTTGGCAGGATGGGTGGTGAGGGTGTACAACCACCCCTCTGAAGCTACAGGATGAGGTTAGCTCAATGATGCAGCACCCAGAGACCACGTTCTGATTATAAGGACCCTGTTCCCTGCCTCCCAAACACGAATACCCATGTAAAGAGGGTCTTGCCTGAGTAGTTACTCTGGAAGAGTTCAACTCTGCCTGTCACCACAGTAAACTCTGTCCTCCTGCAACTGGACGATAACATGACATTTAACAAACCACAAATGAAAGCAAACTCTATTACTAATCAGCTGAAAACTCTCTTCCACAAAAGACAATTAAAAGATGCACATAAATTCCTGGAGGTATTTAAAAGACGTGCATGTGGTGCTCAGGGCCATGGCTTAGTGGTAGATTTGGCAGTGTTGGGTTAATGGTTGAACTTCATGATCTTAAAGTTGCAACCTAAATGATTCTATGATAAAACCATAACACTAAAAATGCCTCGGGTGTTGTTACTGCAATATAAAACATTGCTTTTAATGTAGCTGGTTAATAGCAGATGAAGTAAAAAGAGTCCCACTTCTCCCAGGAAAGACCCATGATAAAAAATTATTCCAAAAAAACCCTGAAATGCAAATACTGTTGCATTCAGAAAACCAAGAGAATTCTCTTTTCAGGCAGTGCGCTATACAGCAGCCAAGTGGGTAGATCTTCTCCCTCTGCAGCTCCCACCATGCCAGCCCAAGACTCTAGAGGGTTGACATTCTTAAGCCTCAATTATTTTCTAACAGCATGCTTCAAAAAGCAGGTGTAATCAAGTGGTTTTATCATAAACCTAACACCAACTTCTACAGGAATACCAGTAATGTAACAGATCATATTGAACTTAATGTAAAGAGACTGAGGCAGAACGAAAGTCTGCAGCTCCACAGGAATGCAGACATGGGAGAAAAGAGTTTTGTAAATATGAGATAACAGCACTGTTATTAGCAGCGAGGAAGCAAAAAGTGCTGCTGCAAGATCTGCCTCGGGTCAGATTTCAGATAAAGTGAAGACATTTAATATGGCTACACGGATTACTAATGACTCAAAAATCTGTAGGTGTGCTTACTCAATAAAAGACAGAAAAGTGAAATGTAGGAAACAAACAGAAAACCACCAAAGAGTCAATGAAAGAAAACCCTTGTGCCTTTGTCTCTTTTAATAAAAGACTGGGGGTGGGGAAATCACAATTTGGACACCAGTTGTTCTAATCATTCTCTGCTTTCTGATGGTTCTGTAAAAGCTGAGGTGTTGGTGTAACATCAGAAGACCTAATGTGAAGGTTCTCAATACAGAAAATAATTTTCTTAGTTTTAGGGACTTGTCATAAGGAGCCTATAAAGGAAGATAATCAACTGAAAACAGTGCTTATCTGTTCCATTTCTAATACAGAGATTAAAAACTAACCCCAACTTGCTGAACGGCTCATTTTCCATCAACAGGAGCTCTACAAATGTTTCTAGGCAAAGACAAACATCCTTAGTCTGCCAAACAAATGGCTTTCAGCTTTGTTGTGGTCTAGTCCTTTGACTGTGAGCCATGTTAGATCCAGAGAAAGAATTACATGCAATTAATGCTGCTAGCTGACAAACTGAGCAAAAAAACCCTAACAAACCAGCAGTGGAAGCAGAGACACATACTGAGTAACAACCCGGAATCAGTGTTACTTGAATTTTATTATGCTGACACATCCAATCCAACAAAGGAGTGGAGGAAAGAAGGACCCATCTTTGAAGCCAACTCTTTGAACAGACCGAAAGACAGTTTTCTTCTAAGTGTTCACTGTTGCAAGAGTTTGGGTAACAAATTCCCTGAGAAGTACTGAGAAAACCTGCTAAAAAGCAAGTCAGCACGCTGGTCAGATAGAGAGCACCAACACATCCTGGCCTCCTTCGCCCCAAAGTGCGGGGGCTTTTCACTAGATGGTATCCTGAGCCAGCTCAAGCTCCACATGCGTGTTAGGCTACTCTGGCTAACTGCTCACTGAAACATGCCCTAGATACTATTAGGAGCCTCAAGCAGGAAGCTTTACACAATACAAATTTGCCTCAAACTAAGCACAACTAAAAGACGTAAAACACTTGTCACAAACAGAAAAGCCCGGGCATTTCAATTTCTTACCCTTTCTTTGCAGTTTTTAAAATACTGATTGCTCAGAAAGGACACAATTCAGGTTAAAACTCTAAAGCTTTAACAAAAAAATGGCCCAAACAAGTGGCAAAACATCTGCACACAATGAACAACAATATTTGGCTACGGAGCCAAGTTCTAAAAAAGGAAAACGACAAGTGATTTACTGCTATTACATGGGCTTGGTAAAAAAAAAAACAACTTACATATAATGGCATTGCTAATTCAAAAGAAAAAAACAAACAGCTATTTTTTTTTTTGTCCAGGAGGAAGTGAACTACTGTGGCATCAGCAAGACCGATCCTCACTGGAACCGGGTACACAAGTACGTTTGTGGAGAACAGTGATTATGACTAACACTGCCACCATGGGAAAAAAGCCCTAAGAATTCCCTTTTCTTTCAAAGCAGGGAAGTACTGCTTGCAGTTTCCTCTTCGCTAAGCAAGGGCAGCAGGGTAGTAATTAGGTCCTAAACCAACAGTTAAGAGTAGCTGCATGTGGCTACCACAGACTTCCTCAGCAGCAGACAAGAAACCTGACTCTTCCAAAGAGCTGCTGAATACTGAGCTGTCAGGACTGCAGCCGCCAGAGCTTACTGCAAGGGCATACCGAGAATTACTGCTCCAGAAAGCAAAGCAAGTCCTGAGCAAGGTTAACTTCTTCCTGGCAGCTGAAGTATTGGTGTGGAAGACGTATGACAAAGAAATCAGAACCAGCAGCCTTGATCACCATTTGTTTCCCCACCTAAGGATGACTAGGGTTTGCAGCTACACGGCAGCTGAGACACTATACACCACACCCTCTTCTCGACACGGCCCTTCCCTCCCCACCATACCTCAAATATTTTATCGCTCTCTCCAGAAGTGCAAGACCAGAAGCACTTCCATCTCGGCTTCCCCTGCGTCTACAGGTCGCGTGCGCAGTTGGCTTCAAACGCGCTGAGGCTACGGCACTGCTGACAGCGCCACGGGAAAAGGGGCCAGAGTTTGAAAAAAAAAAAAAGCGCCTTAATAAAGCAAAATCGGTTCAGTAATGCACTGTGTGTTTGCTCTGCTTACTATGTCAAGCAGGCATTTAATTGTCAGAAAATTAGTTTCAGCGTTTGAGCCGAGAACATGACATATTTTGCTAATTTTTTTCTGTGCTTATAGAACAAGTGAGTTTCGAGAGGTGAGCACATCAGCAACCTCACTCTCCAAATTTGATCTGATTTCTACCCTGCTATTTTGTACTACTCGTCCAGACTCCCATTTAAGAAACACAGCAACAGACACGACCAATTTACAAATCACACTTCATAATCTGATTTTATAAATTGTAAGTAAAAATGAAATTACAACAGATGCAGGGACCTGAGTGGACACTGAGCAGGCTGAAACCCAGGAACCAAAGAGACAACAAGCACACTTCCGGCTTGTGGCCTTGCCAACGCAACACCTGAGACTTGGAAAAGGTTTCCTTTGTACCTGAGTATGAGCTCCAGCTAGCATTATGGCCCAATCCCAAAATAACACCACCTGAAAGATTAAGATTTTACATTTTTGTCTGAAAACATGGCCTCTCTACTTTTCCCTGACCATTCTTCCCATGCCCTGACCCCTCCCTTCACATCACACAGCTTTTGTTTCTCTACCAAGTGCTTCTAGCACTTCACCTTTTTTTCAGGTATTCCAAGCTGCACAGATCGGCCACAAATCACCTTTATCTAATCCATCATATTACCTAATTTGCATTTCATTTCCTCCCTGCCTAGCCCAGAAACTGCCAATAACCTCAGGGATTAAACTGAAAAAAATGCTGAGAAAACTGCAACCACATCATTTGCTTCCACCTACAGAGTCAGTAGGAAGTTGCCACCTGCTCAGACGACGGAGCCTTTCTTCTCTAGGTTATTCTTTGTCTCTCACCCAAACCATACAATGTAAGAACTTGTGTGTTTTTCCAGTTTACTTTTGCACCATTAATTCTGATTTAAAAAAAAAACCCACAACCATCTTGTCACACAATCTTTTCAGTATTTGCATAAAATCCAAATGTGTATATTCTCCAGTTTACTCTGGTCATGCTATTTCATTCCGTTTGCAGGTGAACTCTGGGTATTCTCTCATTCAAACAGAAACATTGCAAGGAGCTTTTTTATCCAAGTGCTCAAAAGTAAATAAAAAGCCTTTGACTACAGCACTTAAAAGGACAGAGATAGCAAAGTCCTAGGTAAAAGTGACATTTTAATGTACTTCCTGCAGGCACTCCAAAGCAGACTGGTTTGCTTGATGAAAGAGTAGGATTTATCACTACTTGCTAAAATAGATAAGGCGATACAGCTGTAACAGCACATTAAACATTTGAGACTAGAGGGAAGAAACCAGAATAGCCATGCTCCAATTTGTTCCATAAAACCACAGCACCTTTGCTGCTGCAAACTATGTGGAAGGCAGAGACACTGCCTGGCCTTCAGGCCAGAGGCAGCATTTCCAAGGCCAGTTTAAGAGGTCAGAACATAAGCTTTGTATTTCTAAGTTTAACAAAGTGACCAGCACAGAGAAGACATGGGAGCATGACACCCAACCACGAACATCCTCCCTACAGAGCTAGCTATGCTTGGGAGACAAAGGAAGTGGCTAACACCACTGTTTTCTCAGCCTACAGGTCTGTATGAGTTCATCTTGAAGAACTGCAGGGCTGTCAAAAATATCTGTTACAAACTGGTTATTAAATAGTCACATGTGTGCAAGGTACGCAGTGTTTCAGATTCTGCAGTGCAGGCATTCAGGGTTAATGGGAGGAGGTGTTGAAACCAAACAAGTTACAATACAGTTGAAAGATCAAATGTAAACACCTACCTTTTGTAGACTAGTTGGGTTCAGCTGTGTCTTGTCAATTATTTTTATGGCAACCTAAAGGCAGAGTTCACAATCAGTATTTTCCACGTGAACAATGCAGCGTTATTACAAGATGGTCAAACCCAGCAATAGAAATGGAAAACATGAAAATTACACAAAGACAACTTAAGTTTCTCCAGCAAACTATAAACTTGCATTTAAACTAAAAAAAAAAAAAAAAAAAATTTGGAATTAATAGCTAGTGTAATTTACAACAGGAGAGTGGGAAACCCTGAGTATTCGAAGCGTAAAGAGGAGAAGCTCACTTAGTCTTTTGCTTGACATGAAGACCATCACACTTACTACAGTGGAAGCTCCAACACAGACAGTGCCCCAACAGAGAGCAGTGTGCCTACAGGGAATGTTTACACAGCATAATTACACAACAGATTACACAGGACTGACTGGGCATTGGCAGTTTGTGAAGATGCTACTGAAAGCAGAGATTTCAGAACAAATTGCAAATAATTCCACACAGATTTTGCAAGAACTAAATTCACTGACTATTTGTATTGATTTGCTCCCCAATAGATATGAAATTTCAATCAATATGAAATCTCAATTTCATAATTGTCAAACGGTTTGGACAAGTTCACTCCTTTACTGGTTCTCATCTTTTCAGTAAATACTGCATCGAAACATAAAAGAACTAAATTAGTATTCCACAAAATAATCAAAAGAGGAATTCAGTGCCATGTTAACTAGTCAGAACCTGAAGATTTGAGGCAATGACCAGGCAACAGAGATGAGCTTGAGTGCAATGCAACTTGGATACAAGATGAGTTAAAGCAGGAAATGGGAATCTTTCTAGGTTTACATGCCAATTGGTATTTTTCCTTTCTAAATTAGAGACTAAACATACCAGAAAAAACTCTGCAGAAGCCAAGGAAATGGTGCCTCCCAAAGAGGCAAGAAGCTGCAACTCAGCTGATCATAATACCTCAGCGGCGTGAAGCAAGGGCTTTCAAATCCCCTTGAAATTTTGGCTCAAACAGCAGATGCTGCTCCTTCCCATGCCACGGCTCCCACTTCCCTGCATCACTCAGTGCTTTGTCATCTCATTAACGTGGGGTTGGCAACATACGGAATAAAGAGTATCTTATACCAACGCAATTTTATTTCCCTAAACGGATGGATCATGATGGAGATGGTAAGAGGGGAAGAGTGTGCCATGCTTGGATGCATCACATGATTCTGTGATGGCCATGGTGTTTTCTGAAACCGAGATTCAAGATTTATCTTGAGCCCTTCTAGATGCAAGATACAATGAGATGTCACCAAGAAGCCATCTAATAATACTTTTGCTTTGGGGAGTATTTTCTTCTAAGGTATGCTACTAAATTAAAGATCTCTCTTGCCCAAGGCAAAATTCCATTGCAAAACCTCGAGAAATCACTTCAAAAATACAAGCAAGAGATAAACACACTAAGCAATAGGTATTTTTATATTAGCAGCTGTCTATGAAACCAAGAAAGATTTTTATCTCTACCTATACACCTGTTGAACTATTGTTACGAAGGCAAAGTTATTCACGACCTGCAATCTCTTATAAATCCATGCTGGATGTAGAGTGACCACTGCCTTTTTCAACAGCACAATGTTATCTCAAAGTCACCTTGTCCCCCAAGACCACTCATGACCAGAACACAGCCATTTGCTCGGCAAAACCTCAGAAATGGAATTGCGTTGAGCTGTACCATCCTGGTCAATCTATGAAAGATGTAAACTTGTTTCAACCCATGAAGTTTTAAGATAATTGGTTTCCACAAAACACAGCCCACCTCTCCCGCTGCAAATTGGTGCCAGATGATCAGAGAGGTTGACGCTGGCAAACAAATTCAGCCCTGGAGATACACGGAAGGTACCTCAGTTCTCTGAAAGGCAGACTCACAGGCCTGTTCAGCGCGCTAATTATAGCCTCAAAGGCAGGATGAATCAAGAGAATTCCTACCCACATGAACACTGAGAGTACAATGTGCTAACACTGACTTTGAGAGCTTCAACCCATCATCAGAACAGGGAGCAATTTCAAGTGCCTTGATAAGGTCCCCAAATCACAAGCAAAGGCAGCCTGCCCTCAAGAATAGTTCTGATAAGCCCGAGAAAGAAAACCCTCCATTTTACTACACACAGTTAATAAAGCACCAAATTGCCTTCCAAAGCAGAAACGCTGCTGTCCTTGCACAGAGGGAACGTGGAACGATTTCAAGCACTGTGTGCTATGGCCAGTGTTGAAGAATGCAAATCTACCTATGCCGTTACACCGCTGCATCGGCCACGAGACTGTGTAAGATCGTTCGGAGACTTAAAATTAACTTTGCTTTCACCATTCACAATAACATGACTTAAAACATTCCTCCTACATTGCTTTAACTCCCTTATTCAAGCCATCAGAAAGAAGCTGAGACACTGTGCAAACTGGCCAAACCGCTACCATTCAGAATGCTTTCTCCCTCTTAAATTTCACTTTTTCCAAGGGAAGAACAGAAAGAAGATGACAATAGATTCCTTGGAGTCAGACTTGGATCCTGAAAGAATCCCATCTCACTAGGAAACCTCAGTTGCCTGGCTATTAACTGAACACATGCCTTTAATGAACAGAAGGATGCATGTATTTTTGGCTGTGATTCCAAACCACCTCAGTAATAGTAAAAGGTAGTTTTATCTTTTAGATTAACATTGGCAAGTATGGAAAACTTGTCAGAGGAAACAACCTTCGACAAATTACAGCAGAAAATGCACGGCTTAAAGTCAAAGAATTAGCAAAAGCAGATTTACCATGAAGATTTTTGCTTTTGAAAGGGCAGACAGACTACAACTAATACTCTCCCAGGCAGAGGATCTCCAAGGTGTGTGTTTCCAAACACCAGCTCTAGGGCAGCGAAGCTAACCCTCCCTCCATACCTCTACAGTGAGCAGGCAGCTATGCACTCCCTGGCAGGACAACTCAACCCCCTCAAGTTAGGCTGATGCTCCGGTCACCCCCTGAAGAGCTAAACATTGCTCCATTTTTGTAATTTGAGGCTGGGCTCTCATCATACATCCTGCATACAAACTAAATACGGAAATGAAAGAGAGTCCTGGAACTTACTCCAGTTGGACACATGAAAGCTGTATCTCAAGCAACAGGAAAATAGTGAAGGCCTCCAGATGTAAGGAGATGAGCAACCACCCTAGAAGAATGCTTGAGCAAACATACCCTCCTCCCAAGAAGTAACAGAAAAGTGCTGATCTGCTGCATGATTTAGACATTAATCAGCACAGAGATAGGAAGAAGGAATTGCCATAAAGTGAAACTGAACCAGACACTTAAAGGGACATGGAATAAGAAGTAAGGTTCAAACACAGCAAGGACACAGTAGAGATGAAAACTCATTTATGTGTGACTCCCAAAATTATTTTATTTTAGGTTTTGGTACATAAGATGGAAAAAAGAGTAGGAACAAAGACAGGACAGCCAGCAGCAATGAGTGTGTGAAGCAGGAAATCACAAATTCAGGAAGATGAGTGCCGTCTGGCTGGGGGCAGGCTAAGAACATTATCCCAGAATTCTTAAAGAGCAGCAGGTTTTTCCCTTTAAGGTGGGGGGAGCATTCTTGTAGCAGAGATTTCTACCATCTGTCAAGACCAAAATGGCAGCACAGGTTTAGCAATTATCAGACTTCGCTTTTTTTTCTAGAGGAGCCACTAAACACAAAATTCTTAAGCCTGAAACGTGCAACAGAAAAAAGGGGAAGAAACAGAAGGGTTAAATGCAACATATTTTCCTACAGTGAACTGTGCCCAATGGAAAGACACAAGATATGACTATCTGGACTATTGTAAAGCCTCATCTGGGAGGATGCATAGAAACTATTGAAATAGATAAGGTGAAATGTGCACAGAGCTTTTTTAATTAAATAAAAAGCCTAAAGAGATACCAGGTTCGAAATAAATAAGATTTTCAAGTAAAGACGTGGGACCAATCTTGTTTAATATCTGTATCAGCAGCCTTGGCATGGGAAGTCAAGCCATAATGATTAAGTTGAAGAAGTTAAGAGGCACCATCAAATACAATGGAAAACCGATATAAACAACCTTGGCATGAGTTAGCAAAAAAAGCGAGAATCAACAAAGTAGAAAGTGCTGCTGCCAACCAAAAAATCATCAGTGTGACAGCCATGAAAAAGGTTAGCATAATCTAAAGATTGATCAGATAAATACTTCTGTAAGGGCAAGGGTAAATTAATGACACCGGGGAAATTGTTATTCAGAACACTGTGAACAATTCTGGTCATACACATCTAAAATATGTCATTATCAGTGCTGTACAGTTCACCTAGCAAGAGGAGCAGCTTTTACTCACCTCTCTTACAAAGAGAAAAGGAAGCTTAAAACACCTTCAAGATATTTCTACAAAACTAGCTTAATCATTCCCTTCAAAGGAATGCCACTCATTCTAGGTAACCAGCACCAGTGGCCACATCTTTGAAAGTATTTATGCCCTGAACTGACTGAATGACATCTATTCCATGAGACCTAAAGAAACTTAGGACTTAAATTTTTCCAAATTTAGCCAGAAACTTCACACTGTCACTTTGTTGACATTTCAAACAAAAATAATGAACCAGAGGTCAACACAGTTATATGCAGCTAAAAGAAAACGTACTTGCATTTTTGCAAAGCAGTGCGTGACACAACACCTATCTCCAACTCCTATGCCTACAGTAACAGCACAGAAATACTAACCATGTTCTTGCACTTCCTGTGTTAAGTAGCAGTAAAAAGAGGAGGGGCTTAAGTGGAAAGCAATTAATCAAAAACGTTGCCTACAAATGAGCACTGACTTTAACACCAGAAGACAGCTGCTGATCCCTGGAACTGTCAGCTTAAAAATAATGATTATCCCCTCTGTTCCTCCTAGTGCTACTGAGCTCCATGTTAGCTCAGAAAAAAGAAATTCCCTCAAAGCGCTGCAGTCAGCCACAGAGGTTTCTTTAAAAGCCCTTGTTCGTATCGGCAAACATTTACTTCATCGGACAGGTTTGGCAAGAAAAGGTCAACAAGGTGTTTCTCCCTCTTTCGGTATGCAGAGTTGCTATTAATACAACAGCACCAAGAAAAACCTCCTTGTAACAAGCAAACAGGACTATAGCTCACCAGAGCAGAACATCATTAAGTACAAGTTATTAATTACATTGCAATGGCATGCAGAAACTAATTATGGAGCTGAGTTAGACACTATAAAGAGATACTAGAGCAAGCTTGCCTACACCACACAACACCAAAGCAACAGACACACAGACTGGCTCTGAACAAACTGGTGTGTCATCCCAAGGCTGCCCAGCACTGCAGACACAAGCAGAACTCTCGCGAGATACATTGCTTTGGCAAGAAAATACTACTTTTGGGCTACTCGGACCATAATCAAGATGTATTACCTCTCATTCCTGACTTGCCCTCCAACAGAGCCCTGCACCATGCAGTCTAGACACACCAAGTGGCAGTTTTCCAATACGTCTATTTAATTGCTATATATTGAGCCCTTTTTGGGGAATGGAAGATTTAGCTGAGAATTCTAGTAGTAAACCTGAACACAATTCTGTTGGACAGGGATTTGTCAAAAATGCAAATTAAAGAGACCATTTTCAGGAGAAATTGTTTTGTAACCATTACTAAAAAAACAGTTTTCCATTTCTGTTTTTTCCTACACCAGTTGCAGTATGTCTAGTAAAATGTGCTACATGTTCACAGACTTAGAAGATGCTATTCTGAGAACCTTCACACCTACTGCAATTCACTACTGTTTACATCCATACCACTTTACCTCTCTGCCAGTTAGGATGTGCCTTGCCAGTTTTACTTTTGCAAAATTCCCCTTTCCAATCGTTTTAAGGAGTCTGTAATTTCCAATATGAGGCTGCTCATCTGCGCAGGAAGCTATAGAGTTCCTGCAGCGAGCTCCAGAGCGCCCAGTTCGAGAGGAAACTTCCTGCCGTCCGTCTCCAAGGGACATGTGCTGCAATGAAAACATACACAGATAAGGCTGAGAAACACAGACAAAACACATCAATGACAAGAAGCACACAGCATTCAAAACCATTAGCAACTCCTTTTAAGAAACCTTCAAAGGGTCCAACTCGAGCTTCAGATTCATGCTGAACTTTGCCCTGATGCGGACAATAAAAAGGCTCCCAGTTCATAACCCAATACCCATTTCATCACCTGGTAAAGACCAAGTGGAACATCACCTGGACTGCAGTAGTAGTTGAACATTTTTAAGTAACTTACATGGCCTGCCAAATCAGTTACGGAATACGGAGGTGTTTGATATTATTCCCCATTTGCGTTACTGTAACTACAGCAGGAAAGCCTTTGGAAAGGAGACATGAACAAAGCTTTTCCAAAAGCACACAAAGTGTTCACCCTTACCGGACAGTTTAAAACTACTGATAAAATAATAAAAGTTGGGGTTTTTTCCTCTTGTACTAGACTCCTTTTCTAGAAAACCTCATGACTGAAAATACCCAGAACAAGGGAAATCTCCTTAATGTACAGAAACCTCAGATATTAATAGGTTGAGCATCAGTTACAGAGATCTGAGATACTGTCTGCAATCTGTTAAGTTCCTTTTACTCAGTTTCTCTGAACAGCTACTAATTGTAAAAATGAATGCGTATGTATCAGACCTATAACCTTCTTTATTAATTAAATCGCATGGTTAAGATAACAGTATTTTTAAATTTCCTGATAGCCTGTTTATAAAAGAGCAGGTCCCCTCATGCCCCTTAGCTCTCAACTCATGGTTGAGGTCTACACACCAGCTTCGCCAATTAAAGTATTAGAAATACTCAGTAGCCTGCAAAAGTGGAGTCAATGTCTGGCTACACAGAAGATGACAGGCTAAATTAACAGTCATCCCAGAAATCCCAGATCTTGCTCTTCTACTACTCTTACTGAAAGCCAACAGGGACAACCAAAAATCTGGCATACAGCAACACCTGGTCTGAAAAATCACCGTAGCATAAGGATGCGAGATCATAACTCAAGATGTAACCACCCTGGTACGGACACAAAGGAACAAATCCATGCCTGCGCAACACTTGGCGGGCTTCACACTCTGTTTAATAACCTGATGTAACCTTGTGGCCACATACTCTGGCATCTTAAGTTCCTTGGTTTGTTAATTTGAGTGCAACAGCTGTGATCAAATTATTTTTAAAAACACATTCATTCCATTTAAGAAATACTACTGATAGAACTCTACGGCTGTTTCAACAGTTACTATTTTAAAAAGCCACCACACACACAGTGTAGTACATGTAGTATTCTACTATCAATCTGCCTTTAACTTCTTACTGCTGGAGTACTGCGCTGTCACCGGATTTGTACTTCCCATATAGGTACTTGATTACTATGAACACATTACCCCCTCACTTCAATAACATGTATATATCTAACTCCCTAAACAGGCTGCTGTAAGGCTGATTAAAGACAAGAAAACATCTCTCGTGGTTCTTTTCAGAACCCTTTCCTATTTTTCCAACATCTTTTTGTGGGTGTCATGCTAGAACTGGACATGCCATATCAATAGCAGGGGCAGTAGCACTAAACACAATGATTGCATCTTCTGTTCAACACTCCACTGATTTTACATGGACAGAATTAGCCCTTCTCAGCTGAAGACCACCTGTACCTGACGACCCAACACTGACCCTAACTGGTTTTAAGAATTATTGCTTCCCATTCCCTTACCACACATCATGACTTTTATACCTGGATCCTTACATGCATGACCTCACATTTGGCTAAAGGGAAATGCAAAGCTTCCTTACATGCAGGTTATTACATGTTCCTGGTGATTGGCCCATCCTGCCTTATTTAATATTCCAGCAATCATTATCCTAGTTTGCAGGAGCAGGTTCTTCCAACCCACTAATAAAAGGCACAGGAACAAGAAGCACAGCCATAACAAGAGCCAGTAAAAATTCAATGCTTGATAACAATTCATTGTTGTCAATAGTATCTTGAGACCTGTGACAACTGGGTAAGTGGTCAGTATTTCTGAGGAGAAGGACAAGACCAGTCGCCCAGCTTGAAGGAACTACTAAAGCCAGTGAAATCCGTCATCAACAGTTTCACTATTTTGCATGCCCTTAATGCCAGGCTGGTGATGGTTTTATTTACTCCCGCACGTACTGGCAGAGCAATACCAATCTTCTCCGCTTTCCTAAACTGTGACTTCTAACAAACCTTGCAGCACACAACGCGGAGAACTTCTCTGTCAGCTCCTTCGGTACCTTCAAGTGTCAAGTTATTCAGACCAGCCATAAAAGCGCAGCAACTGCTGATGCTTACATCCTCCTACGTTGCTACCCCCGGTGACCAGGGACCAGGATGTTCTGTATGGGGCCAGAGGGGTATTTCTTGGATGTGCTAGATGAAGGCTCACTTTTAGGTCAAGTACAGTATCCCAGGAATACAGCTGTACTACTTACGTTGCGCTACACTGGGGTGATAACCTACCTCAGAAAAAGTCCCACATCAGGGCTATTTAAACTACAGCCCTCTCACACCTGGGCACATGGCACAGGTGACAGGCTGCTCCAGCCAGAGCCGGCCTGTCTCCGGGCAGGGCTTACTAGCAGAGGCTCTCAGACAGATCCAACAATAAGGTTACTTCTGAACCACACAGCTGACTCTGAAACAGGTTATCTGCATTTGTGCCTTCTCGTGCTTCAACTAACAAACCGTGTTCGACTGAGCTACTTTACAAGGCAGTTAGACACGGGCATCGGGTGCCGTGTATTCCCAAACCAGAGAACCTGTGCACAGGTTAGTCAGAACTGATCTTACTCGTATCCTATTTACATAAACAACATGAGGTAAAAGAAAGACTGTGTTACACGACCAACTTCTATTCCACACAGTAACCCACCCCAGTTAACGCATCTTGAGAGCTTCACCATCCTCTGCTGAGGAATGACTTGCTGTGTCCTATCACTTTGTTCATGCCTGTTAGCTCTGCACGTGAAGGGAGGAATTAACAGCTGTGAACTCGGACTAGCGTTGATAAATATAACACGATCTCCTTGTGTGGAGGTCTGCATTCCCACCCTAACCCAGATCACTTCTTTTCAAGAATATGACCTTTTTCAGCTGTGGCTTTCGATTATCAAGCTGTGTTGTGTGTTCCTAAGCAGTTCATTCAGTTCTCCCCACCTGACCTACTCATAGCCATGTAGCTCTGTAGAAACCTGTCCATTTGCAAGCTTATTTAATTTGGACTTCGTTTCACTGCACGTAAGTAAATCCAGCAGCAAGTCCTTCCTCTGTCAAATACAAGATCATTATATTGAACAGAACACGAGCTTTCTAAAAACTGTACAAAACAGCTTCCCTGTTTCAACATGGATTTTCTTTTGCTTATGGAAATGAAGGCAGAAGAGGGCTTGGTAGCATACAGTACCAGAAGGCATAAACTCAAAACTGAGTAAAAGTGTTTCTCCCACCCAAGTCATGTTCAAGAAGCCATGATAGGCAGATGGGAAGGTAAATGGCGTAAGCAAAAAGTAAAAATATAGATGGTCTAGGAAAAGTTCAAGTCAGGCACTGGCCTGTACAGCATTTGGCTGTACTCAGCTACTTCTCAGGGCAGTTACCTCAGCAGCTACTTTTATGCAACAAAACCATCACCACAGATCAACAGCTCCAATCTCAGCCTGGAGAAATAGCAACAGCATCCTCTGCTCTCTAAACCGAGAGGTAGGTCATTTATCTTTTCCCAAGCAGACCCTCAACTCCGCACTTTTTGCCTCCCTCAACCCCCGACCCTCAACAATTCTGTTCCATTTCAGGCTTTTCTCCCAGGTCCACATATATATGGCTTCAGTAAGAAAGGGTGTTTGTCTTAAAACCATAAAATTTAAAACAAGCATGTGTTTATTTGTTTCCATACACTGTGGTAGGTGAGCTGCATCTCCTGGACATGTGTTCTGTGTAAGGGTAACACTCACTCCTGACACCCACCATGGCTGAGGACTTCCCAAAATGCCCGTCTTCATGCAAAGATGATTATACTGCGGATGGGGAACCGAAGCAAGGAGACTGAATACTCTGTGAGGCTTTAGGCTAGCCAGAGTCACCATTTCTTTTAAAAGAAGTGTCTCCTGAAATCCATTCATGAAAAGAAAGGACTTTATTCCGTGTCTTAGCACGCATCAGGTTCCATTTAAAAATATTTTAAATACTCTAAAGGGTTGGGGTTTGTGAGGTTTTTTGTGGTTTTTTGTACATAGTAGGAGGGTTCTCTAAAAAACTATCCATTTTCAAGCCAACAAGACAACCTCTCTCTCCCTCAAAAAAGAAGCATTGTCCTCCTCCCCCCAGCCCCACCCTGGTATTACTCAACCCAGAAGGAAACGAGTAAAACATCTCCGCTTGCGAGAGACTGAGCCTGAGACCAACTATATTTGGAACACAATGCAAAACCCACCTTTTCGCAAAAGCCTTCCCCCAATGATGAGCCGACATCCTTTCATAGCCAGATAATGATTAGCATGAAGAGAAAGAAAAAGAAAAGAAAGTAAAAAGCTAATGAGGTATGAAGGTGCCAGTAACTGAAACCTTGTTTGGTAGAGGTTCGCTTTATCCACTATCAGTATGATTAGAGATTTCTCAACAGTCAGAGCGTCAGAAGCACAGGGCAGTATCAGAGGTCTCATACTGCTTAAGAAGGTGCCAACAGCAGAGAAAAACCTGGAAGAGACAGAATCTGATATCCATTGCAAGAGCTGAAAAACATTAAGAAATCAGAATGCCCAAGACCTGAAAAAATCCATGTTTGTTTATAGTTAAGTAGGAAGCTTTCCTTCTAAAACAGGGAGGCCAAGTAGTATCAACACTTTTTTTAAAAGCATTTATTTTATACAGTAGTGAAAACTACCTTTTCATCAGCCAAATTAACGAATAAAATGTAAACTTACAGAAGTCTCTAGGAATGATTATTACCTTAGC